GCTGCTGAGGCTCCAGTCCACTGATGTTTTACTGTACAGCAAGCAGAGGGTCACACAGGTGCTTCTGTTAATGAAAACATCATATAACAGAGTATCAGTGTTGCTACATTCACAATAACATATTCTATTCTTTAAAAATGGGCACAAAATCAGCACAAACACAATATATCAGGACAAATTACAAAGCACAGGCATTGTGACAAAATTAAGAAATTCTAACAAATTAGAATGGATATGCTTTATTGATCGCAAATTAGGAAATGTTTTTGTTACAGAAACGTGATAAAAAGGCATTGCACATGAATTAATAATAACAAGTAGAAAAAATAAAGATATAAATCTGTAGTGTACACAATATACAAATATATAATAATAATAATATTGAAAATAAATAAATAATATATTCAAACGTACAGTATGGTTACATTAAATGTTAGAAATTCTTGGTCATTTATTTTAAGCTCTTAAATATTTTGTAGGTACTTTATAGGTTACTTTTTGGTATCGCACTTTAGGAAATTCAAAGTGATTGACATTTAACAAAGAGATTTAAGAAACTTGGCAGGCCACCTTTGGGTGCTCCCACCCTCCTTTCAGGAAAGTAAAAACCACGGCAGAGCAGGGCGACGTGGGAGGCTGTTAAACGTACTGTCATTCATTTAAATAAACGTCAGTGAAAATGGCTGGGAGTAACAAAAGCTTTAAACAACAGCATAGTGCAGGGAACATAACACACCATACACATGTGTTGGTAATGTATACTTACGAGGACCCTGAGAGACATAAGCATTCCCCCTCATCCAGTGACCTTAAATATACTTTTCCTAAAACCAACATTTTTATTAATGATTTCTTTGAAAAGCAAGGCTCAAAAACAATGTCCTCACTCAAGCTCTAACATATCAGGTCCTCACAAAGATACAAGGACAAGTATAAGAGCACACATGCTTTATTACTTTTAAGAAACCCTCTTTGTCGTTTCATCAGCAAAATGACTGTAAATAAAATACATTTTATACCAAATGTCCCATCATCCCTGATGCCTCCTGTCTTTCCTGTAAAGGCTACCCTATGAAGCTGAAAAATGCATCCTCCCTCATATCCCTTCATATTGCTTGAAAGATTGTCTTTCTGGCGTTCATTTTGACACCTTAATTAGTTTTGGTCTTTTTATACAAAAATAATTAGCTGCAAAGATTAGGCAAATGACTGCTTAGTCGATTGACATACAAATCATTAACAGCTTTTTCAATAAGGGATTTGATAAATAAAAATGGCCAGTAAAGTTGTTTTAAGCTTTGTTGATTTACATACAAATCATTACTTTCTAGGCAATCGATGAATCATTAAAGTCGTTTTTAGTAACAAAATTGGCCAAAATGCTGTTTTAAGCCACTCAAATATGATAAAGATGCCCTCCTTCTTGTTTTACATGATATTTAAGTGAATGTCTTTGGGTTTGGGACTAACAAAACAGGACATCACCTTAGACCTTGAGAAACTGGGATGGACAGTATTCACTTTTTTTCTGACCATTTATATATGAATATTATATTTACAGCAGATTCATCAATAATACAAATAATATTTTGTTAAAGATAAAAATGTTTCTTAGTTTAGTTACCTGATTTTCTGTTAATTATAATACAAATAATAAAGACATCTTAGTTTTTAACATCCTTTTTTAAAATGTGTATCTGCCTTTTAAGCATTTTTAAGCTACAGCTGACCAAAGCTACATTCACTTCATGCGGTTCTGTGTGAGGGTTTAGCTAAAATGACAGATTGGTATTTCTTTATGAAAAAGAGAAATATTTAGATGGTTGATTGCCAACTTTGATCCTGACATTTTGAGTTAGTTCATTTGAAAATTCTTCCATCTCACCATTATATATATATAAAACGTGAGAGATGAAAGATATACTTAAAATATAAATATATATATATTGACATATATATTTTTATTTTAAGTAATTTCACAAAAGTTCTGATTTACAAAGGTACATTTTTTGTTAGCTTTTTTGCAAAAAAATGCTGTCAACAAATAGTTTTTGTCATAGTTTACATTGACAAAGAAAGACTCATTTGGAGAAAAGTGCCTTTAAATTGTGTTTGTTTTTGATTTGATAAGCTATTTACATGTGGCTGTTCTTGTTGTCTTGCTGTAGTTGCTATATTATTTTTGTATTAGCATGTACAGTATGTACTTGAGCACAGTTTGGGTTCATTGTAATACATATTTTAGTGATAGCTTGGATAAAATATATGGCTAAAGATATTCTGATACACAGACACAGAACAAAATGGAGTTGAATTAAAATGATATTTCAAATTTCTGAAATATAGGCTGAAGATTTAACAAGAAATAGGCCTACATTTCTTTGAATCTACTTGTTACATTATGAAATAGATGAGACAGGATGGTGTTCAGACAGATTAAAGTGCTTACACGCAGAGAATCATAAATGAGGCTGTTTCCTCTGATTCCCACACTCATTTACTGCATTGATTGTTTGCTGGCTGTATGGACAGCAGAGAGGCCGTCTATTGGCTCAGGTCATCACCTTATAAATGCACTCAACGCCTCCTCAATACAGTCACACTGCATCACCACGGATGGATGGAGGGATGGATTAATAATGAACACAAAGAGAGGCGGAGGGACATTGACTCCTTTTAACCGCTTATTGTGAATTATTCTGTTTGCATGTTGAATTTGTATGTTTGGCACCAGATGACCACCTTTAAAAGTCTTTATTGAACAGTTTCCTCCATTACTGTTCTGAAGTATCACTTCGACATACTTGTACTTTCGTATATCCTTAAATGCTTCTTAATAGAGTGGTGCAATGAATCCTAAAAACTGGAAATGAGTTAGCATTTTAACACTTCTGCTTTCCCTTGTCTCAAACTGTTGTTTTCATGTGTTTTTGGCTAGATGCCGAATATAATATATTTGGTTAACACAAGCTTAAGAGGTTTTCATGTTCTGTTCATACATGACATAAAATATGTCAGTAAATACCCAACTTGTTAATCTCCTAAGCTTTTATGTGTCTTAAATATGGCGGTTACTAACAAGTGGCAAAATGAGACACTAAACGTTAGCCGCCTATAGCTGAGCGTGACCGTGATGTTGTTATATTTATAGCCTAACGTTAGCTTTTTACTGCTACAGATTGCATTTATGGTAAAAGTGATGTTAATATGTGACGATTATCCTGCTGAACAAACATATAAGTATCATACATTTCTTTTTGCAACATTTTCAGAAATAATCCAAAATAAGAAAATGAAAAAAATCATTGTTTTTTGTCGAGTGAGCGAGCGTACAAAAAACAATATTCAGCTTTTTACTAAACTGTTTTAAACTATCCTTTTGTTTCATATTCATATTCATATTCATTCATGCTTGTTTAATCTTCTTATGTGTCTCTGAAAAAGTATTTTTAGATCTCAGCGAGTGTTTCTATTGCTGAGGTTTTATTAGTGAGACTTTTAAGTAGGTGTAAATCAGATTTGTATAACGTTTAACACCTAGCAGGCATGTAATAACCACAGCACCAGGCTGAGTGCAGACAAGAGCATAATGATCGGTTGCTGGGCCAAGACACACATTTAAATAAAGAAGTTTAAAATAAAATAGATAGATCTAAATCTTTGAAGGTGGAAGAAAGTATAAACATAATAAAATGAACTAAAATAACAATAAAAACAATATACAGCAGCAAGTCTATGTACATATATACAGTATAAAGGACATGAACCACAAGAATACTCAATACAAAATGTACTAGATAATTTAGACTGCTCTACAATATATTACAGTAGCAGGAAACATATATACACATGGTAGTATATAAATTACATTTGTGTAAGTAGCACTTGTGCCAAAATGTACTAGAGGGGAGGAACCAAAACTATGTGAGTTCTCTGCCGGCCAGAGGTGAGTTGTTATAAAGTGTTATGGCAGTCGGCAGGAATGTTTGCCTGTACCTCTCAGTGTGACAGCGGAGCTGGAGCCGTTTGTTGGAGAAGGAGCTCCGCTGTCTGTCCAGCTGCAGGTGGAGAGGGGGGGTGGGGTTATCTGTCTGTCCAGCTGCAGGTGGAGAGGGGGGGTGGGGTTATCTGTCTGTCCAGCTGCAGGTGGAGAGGGGGGGTGGGGCTATCCATGATGGATAACAGTTTGTTCAGAGTCCTCCGCTCCACCACAGATACAAATGTGTCCAGTTTGACGACGATGACTGAGCCCGCTTTCTTAATGAGTTCATTCAGTCAGCTGGTGTCACCGGCTCTGATGCTGCCCCCCCCAGCAGACCGCAGCAAAGAAGAGAGCACTGGCCACAAGAGACTGGTAGAAGTCTTGTGATCTTTAAGATAACAGAAATATATCATGAAGTTACATACAGTAAAATATATTCCCAACAAATCCCTGTAAACATGGCTTTTATTAGATTTGTTAGATTATTTATTAAAATGTTTAATACATTTGGCGGACAAATTGGTTCGCGGACCGATTAAAAAAATTAAACCTAAATGGCTCACGAATTATACTTTGGCGGCCATTAATATACCTGGGCGGCCCGCCCAAGTAAAGTCTATGTGTGGGAAACCCTGCTATCTTACCAGTTCTTATGCAACTCGCAAATATCTCTCTCTCTCTCTCTTCTCTCTTCTCTCTTCTCTCTTCTCTCTTCTCTCTTTCTCTCTCTCTCTCTCTCATCTCTCTCTCTCTCTCTCTCTCTCTCTCTATCTCTCTCTCTCTCTCTCTCTCTCTCTCTCTCTCTCTCTCTCTCTCTCTCTCTCTCTCTCTCTCAATGTTGGTGCGCAAATGCGCTTTTTTCAAATGATCCGGTGCTCCTTTTGTTCCGGGGGGTGCGCACCTGCGCACCAGTTATGTGCAGCCCTGATTATAGGACTTAATTAATCCTAGCAAACCCGGCACATCTGACTCTATATTCCGCTTTCAGCTCTAAACCCTGTTCCTTTGTGTGTTCCAGATCTACGATGCAGAAGGGACGTTACAGCACTTTATTGATGGTAATGATCCCAGTAAGTCCAGCTGGATGAGGTATATCCGCTGTGCCCGGCACTGTGGGGAGCAGAACATGATGGTGGTCCAGTACAGGTAAGGAAGCCTCTTAATTTAATTTCATCCAAAGGTCACAGGAGTGTGTGCAAAAACATGTTTTTTTTTTACCAATGCTATAAAAATACACATATTTCGGGATACTATAGGCTCTAGTCAAAGCATGGAATGTCTTAGAGACCAAGTGCAGCGACTGGAGCAAACCTCCCGGAAGTTTCAAGAAAGCTTTCACTGGGGGGACATTTCTAAACAAAAGCTCACAGGGGAGAAGGGAAACAACATCACCGTTAAGTGCACGCTTTGCCTGTTAGCTGCCCTTTTTATCCAAGAGGGCTACGTCTAATTTGAAGAAGCATTTACAGGTAAGAACAACGCTAACCGCTAATCTTAGCTAACTAACCAACTAACTAACTGTCTACTACTACTGATGTTACTTTGGGACTGTTTTTATAAAGTTTGTGTGTCAAGTGTGAATAGCATACTTAATAAAGTATATTTACGTACATAATGACCGCTATGACAAGTGAATATCATAAAAAAGTAACAAAAAACAATTGCTTAAAGGTGGGGTAGGTAATTTTTGAGAAACCAGCTCAAGTGCGCTAGAATTTGAAAATACACAGCCGGAAAAAATCTGCCACTTCCTTACAGAGCCCCTCCTCCAACACACACGAACGTGCACATGACCAATGAGGGCACGAGATAAGTGTGTGCACAGATGGAAGGCTGACAGGCAGGTAGGCCATCCAGTTATTTTAGCCGGGCCGGCTAAAATGATTGGTCGTACTTTTTACAGTATTACGGCTTCCACAGATGATATTTTTTTATGGATTTTTTGTCAAAGCACTTAAGATATTCATTGCTATCGGGATGTTAAGAGCATTCTATGGAATATAACAAAAAGTGTATCTCGAGCCGGTTTCTCAAACTTACCTACCCCACCTTTAACAAACGAACGGACATAAACATTATATTAGTTCAAACCACTTCAAGTAGTGGAAGATTGCTTGCTTTCTTTACTTTATCATCATCAAATTCAGTATTGGAGTCCAATACGTGGAACAGTTATGCTTACTGCCTGAATTTGTCTAATGAAAGGCATGTTATCCATCATAAAAAAACACTGAGAAGAGGTCCCATTTTTAATACAGAATATCTTGGTTTCTTCTTTCGATTGTTACATTGTTGTGTTGTCTTTCCTTCTCTGTTAACAGAATTCAATTAGTAAAAGCAATGTTATTTATATTTATCTTCTATTATCTTTATTTGCATATTTGATATTGAAGTAATTCACAGGTAACGGAAGGTAATAAGGATACATGTCTTTAATAATGGGTTGATAAGATTAGATTACTTGTTTCAAAAGGTAATTAGTACTTTTAACGGATTACATTTTTTAAGTTACCTTCCAAACTTCTGATCATTGTATTGTCGTGTGTTTGGATCAGGTCCTGTTTCATACACCTTTACAACAGGCTTTGCAACATTCAGTTCCCCTTGCCTTGTTATCACATGATAGCATCTATCTTTTCCATCAATTATTTGCGATGATGACAGTTGACTTTTTAGTGGCGTCCTCACCAAAGATTCTGAGAATGGCTTTAAGTGCGTTTCTTTTCTGTGAAATCTAATATCTTTATTACCAATAAAATAAAATGTACTCCAGGGGTTGTTAAAGACGTTCCGCTCCATATATCAGTGCCTACAAACAGCACGATATTTATCTTCAGGCTGGCATGTATGCAAGGCCAGATTAACCATATGGACACACTGTGCCCAGGGGTACTAGAGTAAGAGAGGGCCCTCAGTGAAACATTTTTAAATACAAAAAACAACCTCACTCATTATACATTGTTTTAAATGAAACTCACTCTCCGCCGCAATAAATAACTCAGCTTTTCTATAGGGTCAAATTAATATATTTTCTAAACCGTCTCTACTGTAGGTCTCACTATGTATGCGCTCAACTTTATTACTACGCGCGGCGGTCTATAGCCGAATCACAACCCCTCCTTCACTCATGTCACATTGACATTGTGTCACGTGAGCGGTAACAGCCAAACGCCCAGCGGGGCAGCGAAAAGAAAGAAAAGGAAGAGAGAGTGGCAGCTGCATTAAAAAATGTCCCAACAATAAATAGTGATATTACCTAGGTCTTCTTGAGCCATACACTGTCTTGAGATCTTATCCATTGTATCCTTGTCTTGTGATTTTTGACTGAAAAGGCAAAAGGCTAGACCTACTTTGGTTGAACTATGTAGCTGCCTTCCTGCTTTTGACAAATAGGTGTGCGATTGACATGCAGAGATTGAATGAACATGTCAATTATTGGTCATGTTGGGTAGGCGCGTTGTTGCGTGGGTTGAGGGGCCCTGAGCTCTCAGTGCCCGGGGGCCCCTGGAGGTACTACTGTAATCCGGCCTTGCATATATGAAAAATAAAGCATTTCAATTGTTGCCCTTTTTCATTTTTTAATATCCTCGGGATCATTCATTATCAATGTACTAAAGAGGTTTTGAGTTTTACAGGTGTTACAATTTCCTCCCAAAAGATCTAAGATTTTAATAGGGAAAATATGTATGGCTTTATTAATAGCAAAGGAAATGGTACGATAGCCTTAAGACAAACACTACCTTGTAGTATGAATACAATCAATGTAGGTTCAAAATGTGTGTCTGAAACATGACTGTGGCAGTTTCAAAATATCTTGAAAAATGCAATAGAATACAGTTAACATAATGAGACTTTTATGTAGAACCTCTTCCATATGATGGACAGTATATGATGGCGAATATTGTATCTTGATAAGCCTTAACAAAATTGTTTTGTTTATCAACTAATTAATACAATAATGTACACCAGACTGTTCTTTAATAATTAAATTATATCTATGTTTACCAGTACACACTTTGCTTAGCTTATAAAACAAGACATTTCCTACAATTTTATATTAAAAATCGGACTTAACTCTGCATAGAGTAGCAACATTTTAAAATATATTCAGCTTTAGAACAACTTGTATTTTTTCTTGACATAGTTTAACATGCCTCACTTACCTGAGGTTGGTGCTGTTTCCTCGCAGTACAGGGATGTCGTGGTACATTTACTGTACAAAGATTAAATCAACAATGCAGTGTATTTATTTTAATAACTACAATCTATGAATCGGGTGCATGTGATCATACAGCAAGGCCAGTTGTCATACACCTAGGAGCAGTGGTGGAATGTAACAAAGTATATTACTCTTTTGAGGTAGTTGTACCAAATATCTTTTCTTTAATTCTGCATTATAGTTCTCTTCCACTACATTTCAGTATAAAATATTGTACTTGTTACTCTGCTCCATTATCTGAGAGATTTAGTTACTTTAAAGATTCAGATTCTTAGCTAATACAACATATAAATCAGCTAATAAATGGACAAATTGACACATAATTATAGGTTAAATGATCGAACAGCAGTATACACAGTAATTGAAATTAGCTCCACCGTTACTAGCTGTGATGAACACATTAATGCACCAATAATCTGGTTTCAGACAGAGGGTGAAAAGAGGTGCTGTAGCACAGGCAGTATGAGAATAATAAAGAGCTTTAAGAACATTAAAGCATGGAAACATGTCACAGTAGAAGCAACATTATTAAAGGGTGACACAAAGTCAGGACACATTGTGTTTGCTGTTACAGTCTCAAGAATCTGATAAGATGTTTAAGAATATGGACAAACCACCTAAACAGGAAGTAGCCACCGACAACGAAGACAAAGAAACTGTTATCAGAAGTTTGGCATCTTCGGCAGTGAAAGAATGTGCTGATAGCATTGAGTACATGGTGGTGTTGTTGTTGTTGTTCTTAAGGACTCAACAGCAAATTTGACAAACTCATTGTACTACCTAAACTGGCTATTCATAATTTAGGTTTTTATTTATTTATTTGCATTTTAAGAAATGATTTGACAAACTAAATTAGATACAGTTCAAATTAAAATACATTTAGATTTTTTTTTTTTTTTTGACAAAATATTAACAATCTTAAACCGCTTTCGAGAACATTCATGTGGTTTTCCCTTTCTTAATTTAGATCAAAATTAAAGTTAAGGTAAAAAATAAAACACATAAGCTGTAGTTATGGTTTTATACTGTGTTTGATTTAATATATATTTTATGTAAGGTGATATAAAATCCCCAACTATTTACTGTAAATCTTACCTTATCAATCTAAAATAATATTAGGACATTGCTTATAACATTTTGAAAGGTAATTCAAAGTTACTTGCGCACTTCTATTGACTGCCTTTGCCTCTTTTGGAATGAGTAAAATATAAATTCCTTTTAAGGGGGAAAAGATTGACATGATTAAATATTCAAATAACTTTTAGAGTATGGTACTAATGTTTATGTCGTCTGAGGACCACCATTAGATTCATAGGATTACATATATGTATTATTGATTACAATTTTGACACATTATAACTCCTTAATGTAGTTTAACATATCAATAAGGTCACACACCTTCTAATAAACAATCACTCAAAATAATCTAAATATTGGTCACCTCATGGATTTAAGGGTCTGCACACAAATATCACATTTTATCAAAGGTTTATTTTTGGTACCAAGAAAAAAGAGAATACAGTTTGAGCTTTGACTACTGCAAACATATATTACAAAATCAAACATTAACAAATAAAATAGTAACTCCCTATGATAATAACCTTTTACTGAAAAACAAAAAATGTAAAAAAAAAAAAATGTTATATATACCGTTAAACTGGATATAAAATGTATTTGTATAACTATTCATTATTGATCAAAATTACATTCACCATTAAAGTGAAAGTAAAACATTTAATAAATACATGTATACATTAAATTGTAGGAAATATGTGTTTAATTTGGTAAAGGCATTACATAGGCACATAGTTAAGGTTTCATCGGTTATTGTGTGCTGGTTTAGCGTTAGGGTTAGGATATCAAAAATAAAAGGTGACATGTGAGACATATAAACCAATAAGACCTATCAATTTCAAAGATGACAAAATAGTTTTCCCCTTTGAGAAGCAGGGGTAGACAAGTATCTTACAGAAAAGCATACAGTATATAGAAAAAGATGTGTAAGGACCTTTACTCTACTGAATCTAAATGACATCAGACAAAGAGTGAACACACTACGAAATTATCTTAAGAGTGAAACTGACAATTAAGAATGTAATAAGTAAACATGTAAAAAAAAGTAGAGAATGAATAAGAGCAATCGATGCTTATTAAAATAATAAAGTGGCTAATCTTAGGTTCACTCAGGTCAGGTAGGGGTGTCCAATGCACATTGGAGGTGAAGAGTCCAAAGAGGTGAAGCCCATTATCAAAACAAAAATACATAAAAAGCGTAACAGTTCTAAATAATACATTTCATATATTATACTATAACTTGGTATAACTCAAAATATATATTTAATATATTCTCATCATGAATTCAAGAGCTCTAAATGGCTCATACAAACAACATGTACATTTGTAAAAAAAACATTGATGTATGTAACAAGAGAACAAAATACCAAACAGATAATGCATTTTAGACATCCCTCATATCCCCCTTATTAAGAGAATTGCTGATCTGGGTCCTTAGCTTGAAAAAAAAAAAGAGGAGGGGGAGCTAACGCCTGCTCAGAATTCTACAAGCTCCTCAGCTAAATGCTGTTGTGATTAAACGCCATATCATGTTCCAAAACACATCAAGGATTATTTCTGAAACAGTATGGAGCTCAAATGCTTTTTCTCTTGCGGGTTTACCACAAGGTGAGTTCCTTTTTTTATTTCCTGCTTCTTTACACATACTCTCTCCAGTACAGGTTAGCTCTGAGTGTTAGCGATGCTTGCTAATCTAAACAAAGAAGACCATATTACGTCCAAAACAGTCGGGCATTGTTTCTGATAGCAATGTTCCTGATAGTGCCGTGGGTCCGCATTTCCGATATTATGTCATATTGGACGCAAATCTGGATCAGCTCCGTTGTAGCCCCGTTTTTTAGAGATTTGGGTACGGAGGAAAAGTGAGAGGGTTTTATTTTCTGATGCTGCGTGAGTTCCCTGACACACCGGGGACACATGTTTATGTATAAAAGACATCAAAAAGTGCATTTTGCATGATAGGTCCCCTTTAAATTACTTAACATTTTTATAGCTTACACTTTTACCAAAGGGACTTACAATAAGTTCCATTTACCATAAAGATACAAACTTGAACAAGTAAATATCGATATATTTGCTTAAAATAATCCAAACCCTTGTAAGCTGGTGGTTTAGTTGAAAAAATAAATCTTTATAATTGATACAACGCAGTTTGAAACGTTGCTGCTGCCTTTTAAGGGAAAAAAAGTATAAGCTATAAACACAAAACTCTAGCAATTTGTGGGGGTTGGGGTCTATGGGAATGACTTCCTTTACGAGCCTTCCTTAAGTGGCCGTTCGATACATGTTCGGACATTCCGTTTTTGACACTTCCGCATAGGCTTCGCTGCTTTGCCATGGAAGATTGGGCTAGGGAAAATAACAAGGGCTTACAAAATGACACACCTGCCTCTGGCCTTTTTGACATGTTCTCGTATCCAGGTATTTTTTTCTTCTTCTTGTTTTGTCTTTAGATCATGGATTACCTTGTCCATATCTTCTGGTGGACATAGTGTCACTGTCAGGTCATTCATTTCTTGTTCTTGTCTTTTCATCAGTCTCTCAAAATCTTTCCGATACGGTTTGTTTTTGCATAGGTGTTGTACTATAAAGTCGTTGTGTTTCTGTTGCTTGTCGTTCAGGTCCTCCATTTCCTTGTCCTGTTTTTCGATCTGAGCTGCAAAGTCGTCGGTGTTTCTGAGTTGGAATTCGTTGAATTCTTCAGCTTGCTTTCTGGCCTCTTCCTCGTGTCTTTTCTGGATTGCTGCCTGATTTTTCAAAAGTTTCTCCTGTAGTTCACTCAATTCTTTCTCCATTTGTTCTTTTCTAATTAGATCTGCTTTTATTTTCTTGTCATATTCCAGTCTTTCTTTTTCATATTCCTCTCGAATTTTAAGTTGTTTTTCCTCCTCAACTCGTCTCTGTTGTTCTTCAAGATTTTCCTTAGGTTCCTTCTCCCATGTCTCTTTCTCTCGTTTCATCTTTTCTCTGTTCTGCGTCCGCTTTGCGTCAGCAGTTGGCTGTTTTTCTGTTCCATTTTTTCTGTTAATTTGCAGGGCTTCAAGAGTTTGTTCCAGATCTATTTGTTGAATTTGGTCCAGACATTTTCTATTTTCTTCCTCTTCTTTTCTCTTCTCTTGTTTTTTCTTCCTCTTTTCCTGCTGCTCCTTGATGAACTCCTCCTTCATCTTGAATAGACTGGTTTTAAAGTCTGTTTCTCGTTCCGTTTTGGATATTTGTTCTGCCAGTTGTCTCTTCTTTGCCTGCATTTCTTCTTTATGTTTATCTTCAAAGTCCATTATCTCTCTCTGTATCTCGCCCTCCTTCCTTTGCAGGATCCTCTCCACTTCCTTTTGTATGGCGGCCTCAGCTTCTTGGAACATCTCAGAGGTGTAGCATCCATCACTATTGTTCCTTATCATTGACTCAACTTGGGTCAGAAGCTTGCTCACTTGAGTACGATTATTCTGATCGTTGTTATTGAAGACCAGGTATCTTCCTCCACATTCAGTTATGAGTTTTTTTAACTCTTGCTCGTCGTCGTCTTTTATGTAGCTCTCAATTGTTTGGACATTCAGTTCATCTCCTCTGGTGAATAGAACGATGATGTAGTCTCCTGACTTCTCGCCAAATAACTCTTTGATCAGATGCACAGTATCTTTCTCTTCTTGTGTAAATCGGCCAATCTGCAGCACCAGTAAGAACGCATGAGGTCCAGGAGACAACATGCTGATGCATTTCGCAAGCTCCTGTTGAACTTGTTCGTTGGTCAGAGTTGTGTCATACAAGCCTGGGGTGTCGACTATTACAACAGGCCGTCCATCAATCTCTCCTGTTTCTTTTTGGCAAAACTCGGTCACTGACTTTGCGCTGGCTTTAGATTTGAAGCATTCTCTGCCCAGAATAGTGTTTGCTGCTGCGCTCTTTCCACAACCAGTCTTCCCAATGACCACCATCCTGAGGCATCCACTGCTCTGGCGTTTATAACCAGCCGTTTTCAGTACAAAATGTTGTCCTGCTACCGTATTCAACCTGGGCTTGGCCATCATTTCCTTTGTGAAGCCTTTGGATTCACCAGCTCTCATCTTTTCCACAGTGTGCAACACATGGAAAACCCTCTGCTTGTCTCTAAGGTCGAAGACAACATATTGGTCTCCACAGCTCTGACAGAGCTCCTGGATGTGTGTGTTCTCTTTCATATATCTTGCAACAGATGGCAAATTGAAATCTGTCTTGACTGTGAACAGAATCATGGTGTTATCATTGACTCGAGAGCTGAATGTGTTCTGGATGGTCTCTAACTCTCCCTTGTCTTCATCAGTGAGGGGACCCACAGGTAGGACCAGGATGAAGGCATGGACGCCCGCAGGGCCACAGCTGGAGATACACCTGAATGATTCCTTCATCGCTTCTTCCTGGGGTTTTCTATACAAGGCAGGCAGCTGCACCAGGGACACCCAGCGTCCACACACCTCTCCCTGATGTTTAACACACTCTGATAAGTCAGAAGGTGGACCAAACATACTTTCTCCAAGAATGGCGTTGGCCACTAAACTCTTTAAGTCTCCAAATCTCCCACACAACACCAAGTTTAGGAAGGGATCGGAAGTTAAAGATGCTGTCATGCGATCATCTTCTTCAGTAAAGTGTAGATATCCTCCTTTGTTGTCACTCACTATCTTTTCCATCTGTTTGATCAGTGCTTGATAATCGTTTTCAGTAAAAGCTTTTTTTTCAAAGTCAATGCTTTGCTGCCGTTGTCTGCAGTCTCGGATGACTTTGTTTAAAGACGCATTCTGTACCTCGCCATTTTCTGTTTGGATAACCATTGAGTATTTAAAAGCATCTTGACCATAGAAATTCAGGATGAACTTCAATGTTTGTCTATCTTCTTCGTTGAAATCAGAAGGCTTTAGTAATAGAAGGAGGACATTTGGTCCTGGGGGGCAAAGAGCCACGCACTTTTTCATCTCATGTCTTACTTTATCTACAGGCAGACTGAAGACATCTGAGGTCTTCACTACTGTTAGTTGTTCCCCCCTCCGTTCTCCATTGCTGACTTTACATTGATTTTGCATGTTCAGATAAGGAGAGTCTTTTTCCGTTGTGATGAAGTTACTAAGTGTTGTCTTTTCATTAAGATCCTTTCCAAACACCACAATCCTCAGTTCAGATGCTGTAAAACGACAAAATCCAAAGCATTAACATTTCGATAAGTCAATGAGCACATTTATTTATTTATTGTCTGTTTCCATTTTTCTAAGTGGTTCAAACATGAACGTATGGAAGTTATTTAAAGACAGTCAAAAATTATTTGATTAAAAAATGCATCTTTATTCTGTGTTTTGTAAAACGTTTAATTTGTTCCTCTACTAAGTTGGTTAGCTAAGGTTGTCCTGTGTTGTTTACTATTTGCCATTAGCCTTGAGTCACTTTCCGAAATCTAATAAATATGTTGATATATAAATCTTTTGAAATATCCCTCAACAAATCATTTTTGGAGATACAAACTATTGCGATTCTGCTACAGTATGGTGCATTGCTTACTTGCGGAGAAGCTATAGATATGTATTGATAATTTGATAATAAGGTTATCCATTTGGGAACCCAAAGCAAATTGAACATGATATTGTTTCTTTTAAATATAAAAATGCCTATACCATATTTTTTTGAGGTTCTACAGCAGGGGTGGGGAACCTTTTTCCTCTCAAGGGCCATTTCAATTTTTACAACATCCTCCGAGGGCCGTACAAATTATTGAACTCAACCTCTACTAAAATCACAGCCCATTCATTTTGCCTTTCTTTCATGATGTGCAAAGAAAAAGCAACCTCTTAATCCAGATATCTTTCTGTTTTATTTTTAATGTTTTTATGTTATGCTTTAGAGAGAGTGTGTAAAAGGCATAAGGACCTAAATGCAGACACTCACTATGACTCGCGCATGCATGCACGTGCACGGTTGTGGCATGACCACCAAAACAGAAAGATATGGACAAGATGTGTGCAAATGTATTTAGTTTCCTATCCATGTGAACATGATTTAAGTGGGGGGGGGACCAAACATCCTCTAAGGGGGTCTTTTTGGGGTCTAAGATTTTTTTTTTTTTTAATATTGAAGTTAAAAGCATCAATCTGGTGCACTTAGAGAGCAAAATTAAAAGATCTATGGATACATCTCCCAACACCCATTGGAACAGAATTGTAAGCAGATTTTCTTTTTCTTTATGGATATTTTACAAATCACTCCCCTTTCAAACTGTATCTCTTATCTTTTTATAACTATAATGATCATATAAAGGTGTGCCTTTACCTCACTGAGCTGAGGTTATCAGAGCCTCTCAGTCTGTCAGGAGAGAGCTCTCTTCCACCTGGATGTAGATCCGTTAGCATAGCTAGCTAACCAGATGCTAACAACAATCCCCGGTATCGCGCTCTCTCTCTCTCTCTCTCTCTCTCTCTCTCTCTCTCTCTCTCTCTCTCTCTCTCTCTCTCTCTCTCTCTCTCTCTCTTGCTCACACAAAATGCGCTCGTGCCACACACACAGAGCTGAGCTTGAATGACACAGAGACCCATAAGTACTTGTACTGTACTGTATCATATAATCTTCGATGGCGTTATTGTATGATCAGTATGACAGATCGCCACTGGGCTTCCAACTAAAGACACAACCACGAAAAAACTGCGGCATGTGTACGGCTCCTTATGGGTACTGCAATTTTTTAAGTGCTGGAGCGGCGTTCCGGCAGCACTACACCACGTGATGACACGTTACGCTCGTGTTGTGTTCAAGGAACATGTACTTGGCCAGCAAAACAGCCAGTTGCTTGTTTGATTCTATTGCGGTCTAGATTTCTTTAATTTTCTTTTTTTTTGCGTGTGTTTATAAATTACCTTGAGGGCCGTATCAAATGGTCTCGCGGATCGTATACGGCCCGGAGGCCGGAGGTCCCCCACCCCTGTTATACAGCATTTATTTGCAGGTTGTTCCATAAAGGAAACCTAGGAACATGTGGGGTCAACTGAACTCGGACATTGAACAGTTTGCTGTGGTCATTCGACATGATCAAAATAAAATGGGGCACACCACTGACCAAATAAATAGAAAGAGTTAGCCCACTAACACTAGCCCACACACAGTTAGCCCACTGTCACATTTCTTAACTCTAGATTAACCAATCATTTCCTTTGGGGCTGCCGGCTTTTTTATTTTTCATGAAACTGTGTCTCAGGGCTTCTTAACATTTAACAACCTATTAATATGTCATACCCACTTAACGGGAAGAAACTCAGCTAACTGACGATATGAACCATTTTTAGCTAAACAAAACACAACTCTAACGCAAAGCCTCTGAATTAGCACTACGCGAAAAAATGCTAACGCACTTGGCACAGATCTCACGGTAGAAATACTTTATTACTTATCGGATCTGCACAAACAAGATATTAGATTAAAGCTGTGAGTCCACAGATTCTATAGGTATAAGTATCATCACTGAGCGACCAAAACTCGCGGCAGAAAAGGCAAACCCAGACACACCACGTAGCTTTACGGGGCCAAAACGCAAATAAGTCTTACCTTTGATGTCTTCTGATCAAAAGTTGTGTTCAATGGCATTAGAACGCATAAAACGCTGCTGAAGGTTAATCCAATGTCTCTGTGTCCCTTTGAAATGATTACTGATAATCCATCTTCATATTTATGGCAAAAAGCGTAGTTTTCAGTTTTCAGAGCGTAACATAGCTTTTGGTTTGGGCAAACTGCATGTGCATCACTCTCACTCCTCATGGTAACGTGTAATTGGCTCTAACGGTTCAAAAGAGATGTCAATCACCAAAATCGACCAATGGGTTCCAGAGAAACGGCAAATCCACCCAAATGACCCCAGAGGTGGATTTTTTTTCTTTCTACACCTCTCTAAAAAGGTCAAATGTCACTTGTTTTGCATCAATCTTGATAAAGGGTACTTATTATATGTTATAGTTTGGATTCCTAAAGCTTTTAGTCTACTATTCCATCATTCAAGGGTGGTTTTCACTATAAGTAATGTTTTATTTTTAGACGGACACTATAATTTACATTTTTTTACTATGTTCAATCTGAATTTACTTTAAAAATAAAAAATTCTATATTGATTCTGACTTTTCTACATCCAACTCACAGGTTTATCATTGCTTTGAGAAAAAATATGATTAATTTACCCCTTTTAGAAGATATAGTCATTTGTTCTGGGAATGTCATTTAGAGCCTGAGACCTGAAAAACCGGCTCCGGGCTTAACTGGTTAAGGGTGTTGGGAAAATACTGAATGTGCTCTTCCAATATCAGAGTAGCACATGATAACAAAGGCCCTACGTAGCTGTGTACATGACAGGATGTATGATTACCTAGAAGAGCATCAGGACTGTTTTAGGCATATGATAGCTATGTGATTAACATGATGATTCAGCCTCTATGGAGATAGACATATGACAAGCATGATCATTTCCGACGTGGGTCTTAGCTAATCTGAACTAAACTTAGTATACTGCTTTGAACCGGTATTCCTCCATCTTGTTACTGTGTAACACCCTCTCTTGTATATAAGCATGTGAAGGACACTGTTCAGGAACTAGTTGTACCATATGCTCTGTATGTGATGACTACTTCCATTCTTGCAAGGATAATAAATACATGTATCCTGATATTGAAGCTCAAGCCGGTGACTAGTGATATTTTTCTAACAAGGGGTAAAATATCATGAAGAGCAAAAAAACATATATATATACAGCCATGTACCATTGGGTACAATGTCATTACTCGTTTTACACTGCCCGCTAATCAACCATCAGACACGAGCAACCTAGCCACTTTGTATGGCTCTTTGACTTTGAACTCTAGATTTAAGATTGTTCTACTTATGTACACATATGGTAGTTTTGTTGCATAGGAACCGAATGAGAGTAGTACAGATGTTGAACAGTTTGCGGTTGTCAGATAACTTGTCAAAACAAGGACATGGGCATCACTGGGCATTGACCACAACAAAATAATGAGTTGGCCTGCTAAAACGGTGTAATTTATTTGCATGGCAACGGTATCCATAAAGTTGGCTTCGGCTCTTTCCATCCTACTGCGTTATTTTGAATAAGAATGTCCGTTATACTTTGATTCAATTTCGATGGTTGTTTGTTTTTGGTCTTAGAAAACATTTGAACCTAACATTGACCAATCATTCGCTTTTAAAGGGACAAAACATCATCAACATTAACAGATATATAGTCATGTACCATTTGGTACAATGTTATCAGTACTGCTTTACACGAGAGGGCACGTAACCATCAGATAAGATCAATCTAGGCACTTTTTAGAAGTTTCTGACGTTTTTCTACCTCTGACTTAAGCTTTGGTTTGGGCTGCAAATACCACTGGGGAAAATGTCTGTCTTTCTATACTACAGCATTAGGGCTTCGACAGTAGTCGTACACAAACATTCACATTTTGGTTTGTACCTCAGTTTTGGAGTCACAGTTCAGTATGTTTTCAATTTCAGTGCATGACAAGGAAAAAATGCAGAAATATTACAATTTGTCATTTATAAAAAATCTAAAAAACTACAGGAATAGCATATTGTCAATATGAAAAAAAAAAAATGACTACAGGGGTAATGTAATGCTCCACAATAAGACAATAACCTTTTAATAATTCTTGAATCGGGTTGTAGCTGTCACCCAATTCACCAAATGCAATATTTCTGTGTTTTCTATGAACGTGTGTGTCACATTCAGGGCGCTTAACACTCCATTTCATTAGTTTATGCTTTGGCCTCTCTGACTCCGGCCCTCTTTTTCGTATACTTTGCCAACATTTATTACGAGTATGACTTAGATAAGCCAACTAAAACAGGCTATGCAACAAGTCAGTGTCAAGAAACCTCCCCATTATTTTGGTCTGCAACAATCCTATACACTCCCTCTTTTGTGTGGTTTACCTAATTTCTGTTATCATATTGGGTTTCAGTGATAACATAGGCCTTCTCGATTACAGAACATACTCACCAAAAGCTGATGCTGCCATTGTGTTGCTTTGGTACAGCTTTAGGGAGAGTTCTTCAGCTGGAGGAGCTTTTGATTGTCTGTTTTATGAAAAGGCAACATTTTATTATGACATAAAGTGGCCAAACTATGGAGCTAATTTCCTGCCATAACTCCACAAACAAACTAAACAGGTTTTACAAATGCCACATGATTCACTAACAAACACAATGTGGTTTGCAAATACAAAACACCATCTACAAACTAATGCATTTAGTTTTGCAAAGAAAAAACGTATCTATCAAATAAACACATACCATTTTTCTAATAAATCATGTTTCAGAGACAAATTCAGCATAGGTTTTACAAGTACACAACTTTTTTTTACAACTACAACACTTATTTTTACAAGTACAAAACTTGTTTTTACAACTACAACACTTTTTTTTACAAGTACAAAACTTTTTCTTCTCACGGCATATTACTGCCAAAAGTCACGTGAGTGCTCCATGGCAGCAGGGGGCGCTACTGAGTCCATTGGGAAGGCGGGAGGTTGAGCAGAGCATGGAACAGCCCTTGCCAGCCTGATGACAGCGGTGTTTCTAGCGATCCAGCGATCTGAATTTAGCGATCACAACGAAAACAGCCAAGACACATATTGAGCCCAGAAAATGAATGTTCTTAGGGCTGTAAATATAATAAGCCTTTGTCTAAAATGGACAACATTGTAACTAAGGAGATTTAAACTATACAGCGATTCTGCACTCGGTCAATCAGCTGCTCTTCATTTTCTTTCCTGCTATATTCAATGAGTGATACAAATATTTGTTACCATACGTTCTGAATAAAACTGATACTGTTGGACTCGGTACTAGTTGACTGCTACCAGAAATAAAAGGAAGTACTTTACTGTGTACTTTGTGAGTATTCCTCTGTCAGAGTCCCCTCCATAGTACATAATGCATGTTTTTTGCTATCTTTGATGAATGATAAAAATAAAATGTTACCATTAGTTCTTAATGAAATTGATACGGTTTGACTTTGTATTAGTAAGCCTACTACTAACAATACGTTGAAGTACTTTTACTGTGTATTTTTTGAGAAATACTCTGTCAAAGTCCCCTGCTGAGAACAAAATCAAGTCACTTCTGCTAAGTTTGATGAGGGAATTATTTTTTGTTGCCATTAGTTCTTCGTGAGATTGATCCTGTTGGACTCAGTACTACTGAAACTACCCCCACAAGTACTATGAAGTACTAATTGTGTACTTTTCCAGTAATCCTCTGTCAATGTCCCCTCCTGAGTACAAGAATGCATGTTTTTCTTTTAATAAGCGTTAAAAAACATTTCTTCCTGAGACTGATATTGTTGGACAGAGTATTTTAAGAGGATGGTAGACATGATATCAGCAATACTTCCAGTCAGTACTCCGGCAGCAGCATTTTCACACCTTGGAAAGTCTTTAGAGTCTGGCCTGGAATGGATAGCTGGTCACAAATATCCTTCAGCAAAGTAACACACTCTGTCACATGGTTGCCCTCTTATGATGCTGCTGTCTTTTAATATATAATTATTCCTCTGCAGCTAGTTCGTTCCTCGCAGATTCTTCAGTCTCATCAGCCTCATCCTTCCATCAGTCCCAGTTAACGCCTCCAGCCCACTTCCAGTATCTGACTCCATATGATATTGTCCTGATGCTGTAAGGGTGATGCCCCATGATCACAAAATGACCCCTCTAAAGTCTGAGTGCCAAGGACCTCATATTATGTCTGTCATTAATGTTACATCACCCATTATAACAATTTTCTTTCCTTTTTTCTCTTCTCTTAACTGAATAGTCCTGTCTTTAAGTATAACCCAATGTAAAGTCCTTTTCCTGCACCATTTTAAGGCTTCATAACAGGCATGTTTACTGTATGTGTTTGGAGAAATAACACAATCAATGGCCCAGAATTGTACTTTATAAACTATGAATCTTGTGGTGCTTGAAGAAATACAGACGGGTTAAGCCGGCCAGGTTATATATATATATATATATATATGCCTTTTTTGGAGCCCTTTTTTTCAATATTTATTCAAGTGTCACTAGTTATTTAAACAAACCACTATCTGAGGATAATACAAGCAACCATAAAACACCCTTTATCTAGAGAGCCATTGAAGCCCATGAAGAATTTATCCTTCCACAAATCTTTTCAACTGCTGTATTAATAAAGTTGCCACGTGTTTTCAAATTCAAGTTAAGGCACTATCTGTGTAAAACATTGCAAATATTCTTCATTTGCAGTATTTTAAAAATGTTCAGAAAGACTGCATCAATTATATGCTATATATATTATATATACATATATATATATATATATATATATATATATATATATATATATATATATATATATAATATCAATATTGTTATTAACTTAACAAAAATGGGATAATTGCCATGGATATGGTGTTTGATATAGTTTACGTTCAATTTGAACTATTTTAGGCAGAAAAACGTATATTGACGAAACCTTTTTAATAATTTACTATAATTTAGAAAGGTTTTTGTGAGAAATCATTTCAAAAGTAAACTTTTTTTTCATTTTATATTTCAATTTGAAATGTTTGCACACAACATTATTAATTTATACATTTTTATAAATATTTTAAATTATGAATCCATTAATTTTATTGTATTTCCTTGAGGCTGGGGAAGATATCCAGCATGTGGTTCAACATGTAATACAAGTAAGTATAAATAAATAGTAAGAAAAGTAAATAAAATAAGTTTAATAGGAGGATGTGGATTTATTTTCTCTCACCTTGTAATTACACAATCAAACAATCTATAATTTATCTCTGACCTTCACAAAAACATTTTGTTGAATTGGACACATTTTTTCCAAGCTCTATTGACAGACATGCAATGACTGGGACTGATGGAAGAATCTAAGAGGAATGAACTAGGAGCAGAGAAATAAAAGACAGCAGCCCCATAAGAGGCCAACAAGAGTCACAAGGGTGTGTCACTTTGCTGAAGGATATTTGTGACCAGCTATCCAGGCCAGTCTCTAAAGACTTTCCAAGGTGTGAAAATGCTGCTGGTGGAGTACTGACTGGAAGTATTGCTGATATCATGTCAACCATCCTCTTAAAGTACTCTGTCCAACAATATCAGTCTCGGGAAGAAAGGTGTTTTAACGCTTATTCAAAATAGCAGAGAAACATGTATTATTGTACTCAGGAGGGGACATTGACAGAGGATTACTCAAAAAGTACACAGTAAAAGTACTTCCTTTTATTTCTGGTAGCAGTCAACTAGTACCGAATCCAACAGTATCAGTTTTATTCAGAACGTATGGTAACAAATATTTGTATCACTCATTGAATATAGCAGGAAAGAAAATGAAGAGCAGCTGATTGACAGTGTGCAGAATCGCTGTATAGTTTAAATCTCCTTAGTTACAATGTTGTCCATTTTAGACAAAGGCTTATTATATTTACAGCCCTAATAACATTCATTTTCTGGGCTCAATATGTGTCTTGGCTGTTTTCGTTGTGATCGCTAAATTCACCTTGTTTATAATATTATCACTATAACACTGACCCAGATCGCTGGATCGCTAGAAACACCGCTGTCATCAGGCTTGCAAGGGCTGTTCCATGCTCTGCTACACCTCCCGCCTTCCCAAATGGACTCAGTAGCGCCCCCTGCTGCCGTGGAGCATGTGTGAGTGAGCATGTGTGAGTGTGTATCATGGATGTATAATAAGAACTGGATACAGCGTGGGAGGCGGGGCCTCATTCATTCCTATGAGAGTTGCTCATTCGCGCATGATGATAAAATGGCCCAACTTTTGAGAGAGCGAAACGTCACAGATTACCCGGCATGCCTGAGAAGTACCCGTATGTGCGCTCATAGCGCATGCGCAACTTTAACCATGCCCCCCAAAATGCTCGTTCACATCAAGCACGTCAATTAGCGTACACGTAACAGCACCGCACGTTCATGACAGCATGGTAATGTTTGTTATGATAGATTTGATATTAACGAGGCTGCAGTTAGCAGCTAGCGGTTAGCTAGTAATTATGCTAATTTACACATCAATCGTTATGTACTTTTATATTACGCTGTAACAGGATCTAGTGATATCCAAGCAACAGAGCTTCATTTAGCATGAAATAATTATTGCACTGTATATATATATATATATATATATATATATATATATATATATATACACATATATATATATATATATATATATATATATATACACACATACACACACAGTGCAATAAGCTTCTTAGTGCAATAAGAAGCTACAGGGACCTTAATCTACGTCGGTAATATTAACTTTATTTAATACAACATTTACGGTACAAGATTTAATCATACAGCCCATGTAGTATAATATTTTACAAATGATGAATTACAGCAAACATGTGCAATATATCCATTATTACAGCTCCGTGGGCTGGCAGTAAGGCGATATGGGTCCGTTCTTATTGTGCATCCATGGGTAAAGATAAACGCATGTAGTGCTGAACACGTAACATGAACGTGCCGGGCGGCGCGGTCCCGTGGGTTAGATGCGCGTTCATAATGCAGAGGGAAATAACTCTCAGAATAACGTTATTAGCACATTTTACAACTTGAGGAACGAATGTTTTTAATAAGGGCTATACAAGTGTTCATACTGGGTAGTTTATTTAGTTTAAAAAAAATTATCCAACGATTTACAGACCACTCTTTCCCCATGTAAGTCAATGGGAAAAAGTGTTTCCGGGCCTGGCAACCAAAAGGAAGTGTAGTACCGCCGTTTGGCCAGCACGAATATTTTCATCAGAGTCCGGCGCACTTCCTGGGGGCTTGGTGTGTATGAGCCAGCCACGGCGGAATATTACTGCCAAAAGTCACGTGAGTGAGTCACGTGACTTTTGGCAGTAATATTCCGCCGTGAGAAGAAAAAGTTTTGTACTTGTAAAAAAAAGTGTTGTAGTTGTAAAAACAAGTTTTGTACTTGTAAAAATAAGTGTTGTCGTTGTAAAAAAAAGTTGTGTACTTGTAAAACCTATGCTGAATTTGTCTCTGAAACATGATTTATTAGAAAAATGTTATGTGTTTGTTTGATAGATAGGCTACGTTTTTTCTTTGCAAAACTAAATGCATTAGTTTGTAGATGGTGTTTTGTATTTGCAAACCACATTGTGTTTGTTAGTGAATCATGTGGCATTTGTAAAACCTGTTTAGTTTGTTTGTGGAGTTATGGCAGGAAATTAGCTCCATACCAAACATAATAATTCCACAGTGAAGTATGAGTACATGCACAATTGGTAGACTAAGGGTGTATTTTTACACAGCTAATTTGGACTTGTTTTTTGGAAGCCTGGAGAGTTTCACAGGTTGTTGTTTTTTTGCCTAGGTGAATACAACAATCATACTCGCTGGGCAAAACAACTGGATTTTCTGATATTTAAAAATATAACCTTTGCTGAGAAACCTGTCAAGATTATAATCAACTAAAACATGGAACTTTGACAGTGTCGTACAGTATTATCTTTTGGTTTTGATGGTTTTAAGTGTTTAAATTCATGTCTATGTTTACTTTCACCACCCAAAAATTGTATTTGCAATGACAAATAATATGGTCCTACTATTTATTCTAAATGATAATTTGTATCTGCATGTAGCTATTTACAGTGTCGATTATTTGGTGGTTTTGTATTTACAGTTACATGTTTTTGCATGACAGTGGCATCTAAAAAATATTTATTTTTAGTTATAATCATCAAAAAGTCTACAACTTAAAACTATAACATTATATAGTTACTTACTGATAACATTACAATATATTAGTAAATAATCTTAAAGCTTTGAGAAATTATATTTATTTGATATGGCAACATTCCTTATGATTGCACCACCCGACTCTTGCAACTCATTTCAGCAGAACTCTGACGCCTGTATTAACTGTTACTCTCGCTACAAAGATCATAAAGGATAAAGAGTTTAATTATAAAATCATATTTAACATTGGTTATACCACCGACATTGATTCGGTTCTCTAGTAGCAGTAACTAGTAGCAGACCTATCTACAATTATTTTTCAGCCATTATTTTATCAGCCATGAAACTCACTTGGGGTCGTCTTTATAATGTAATCCCCTGTTTACTGTAAAGCTCCCATCCTACAGTTGTGCCACCCTGACTTTTTAGAACATGCTAATAGCTAGACAAAAGGACATCTTGCTGACTGCTAGCCGCCACCTATTTTCTCACCTGAGGTTATTGTCGTTGCTGTCTTAGAGTAGTTTATTTCTCACTGGCTGTGACCATCTGATCAGCTGAGCAGTCGTCACCTGAGAATTAAAAATGAACTGCGCTAATGAATCCATTGAAAGATTTTTTTAAAGGCTTTTAAACATTCTGCATATTTATTGTACATGTCATTTACATTTTACAATTGATTTACTCACCAGGTTATTTCTTGTTGCAAGCACGAGATCCAAAATAAGATGATCTCTCGCAGGGAAATATTTTTCTCTGAAGAGCTGACAGGGCAGGGCCCAACATAGGTATGACAACAATGAAACAGTCATAACACAAAAATCCCGGATGCGATAGTCGACTTATGGTAATTGGTCTGGTTTTACCCGTTGTGGAACTTCCCTGAAGACTGGGTGTGTTGTGGTTCAGCACAAAGGCTTTCCCGTCACGGGGATAACAAAAGTAACCTGTCCCCAGCAAGATGCAGCCAAAAGTGAATATCAATGAAATGTCAAACGTGAATTAGACAATGCAACTCATTTACCGGTACATATTACTTTCATCAAATATGCCGCATCTAGAGATGGGTGTTACCTCTTAGCTGGCATTGCAGCAAAGTTATGTTTCTACATATTTCCCTCAGCATTATTGAAGGAAGTCTGACAACACAAAATGTAATTGCCAACAACTGTTTCACTGGATTTGTTGTGAATATGACAAATAATAAATGCTTTTGCTCGTTTGACCGCATCATTCTCTTGATTCACCAAGATGAGAAAACATCAGAAAAGCCTGATCATGGTTTGATTCCTCTTAAGTGCATGTATCTACTGTATAGGGCTTGGCAACGGTTCAAAGAGTTACTGAAACTGAAATACTGAGTGTGTATTCCCAACAATCCTTATCTCTGTCACATCACCAAGTTTGATAAATGCATTCCTGTACGGCTGACACCTATACCTCATCGGTTTGGAAACAAACCAAACCCTTACGTTACGTCCACACAGCAGCGTTAAAAAAATCTTGGAGGTGGGCGTATCTGAAGCTTGGGGATTTTTTGCGAGCAACGCGACCAACAACCAATCACATGAATCTCCCGCCCCCGACATACAAAGCAAAAAAGCCCGAAGTAAACTGGATATAAACTCCCCAAACAGGCGAAAACCTACCACTGTCTCTGCCACCTCCCTCCATGCCTGGCTCCTCCGGTTTATATCCCGGTAGGTAAATAGGGACTGGTCATAAAGCACCGGGTGATTCCCTACCGCTAATTTCTCCTCCATTTTTTGGAATATGAGGAAATGACCTGCGGTATGTCTCTCCCAGCATACACGCGATTTGATTGGCTAGCGCTTGAACTGTCAGATTTGCATAAACAGGATTTGATTGGCTGACGCTTCCACCTCAGCTTCAAAAGTTGAACATTGCTCAACTTTTGAAGCCTGAGATGCCTGGAAATCTCCGCTTTGCTTCCCACAATGCAGTTCGGCGAAAAGTGAGGTAAAGTGACGTCACCCCATTCAAAGTGAATGGGCAGAAGCGTTGGAAGATGTCTTTAACGCTGCTGTGTGGACGGGCCGTTAGGGTTAAAACACAGCCAGAGATTCATGGGTGGGTTCAGTTTGAGTCAACATCGACGAAAATGTAAAATACATTTGTAATAAATATTATTGGTCCACCTTTTTCAATGCACTTTCAGAAAGGACGGCAGGAATAGATAGCAAATAGCTGGTACACCAACATTGTGCCATTTTGGCCATTTATGCCTACTTTGGCTTCAGTTAGCAGGCTAAAGAACAAAAAAAAAAGGCAATAATGATACATTTTGAAAAGAAGCGGAGTGGCACAACTCCCTTCAAATGATCTCAAATCGCTGCAAAGGTTGGCAGATGAGCTAGCTGTCTACCTTGAATGTATGAATCATGTTAGCTCAAAACCAGGAATGCACCGTTTGTCACAGAAGAATTGCTACAGTTTTGTTTACCAGCAGCCAAGTTGAGATGGGTGTTCACCTCGTAGTTGGTTGAAGCAAAGCTATGCTCATTTTTATTTGCCTTAGCATTTTTATTTGCTTTAGCATTGTTGTTTCTCTCAGGCAAGACAAGAACAAAAAGGAGACTCACTTTTTATCCCCACTGATTTCAAGCAGCCTTTAATTGATGCACTCAAGTGCTCGTGTTAGCTAATGTGCATCGTCCCTAGTTAAATTTAAAAGGATTACTGTAGTCATTTTTATTTACATTGGCATATAGCCAAGGTGAAACCAATTGAAACACGCCTCCTTAAAGGTGGGGTATGTAATTTTGGAGAAACCAGCTCGAGTGTGCTAGAATTTGAAAATACACAGCCGGAAAAAATCTGCCACTTCCTTACAGAGCCCCTCCTCCAACACACATGAACGTGCACATGACCAATGAGGGCACGAGATAAGTTTGTGCACGAGATGGAAGGCTGACCGGCAGGTAGGCCATCCAGTTATTTTAGCTGGGCCGGCTAAAATGATTGGTCGTGCTTTTTACAGCGCCACGGCTTCTACAGATGACATTTTTTTATGGATTTTTTGTCAAAGCACTTAAGATATTCATTGCTATCGGGATGTTAAGAGCATTCAATGGAATATAACAAAAAGTGTATCTCGAGCCGGTTTCTCAAACTTACCTACCCTACCTTTAAGCACAAGTTTTAAAACACAACAGATGATCATTCTGTTTTATATTGCGTCCTATGGCAATGGTGTTAGGAATGTGCCTTATTTTTTTATGAAAATAGATGACCAAAATTGGCAGGAGACTAAATGCAGATGCATGTCTGACTTTAGATGTGTTTGCTCATTGCATGATAGTTTGTTTGTTGTCACAAATATAAGTGAAAAGAAGGGGGAAAGTTTAACAATAAAATGTTGACTGACTAATTTAGAATCTGCTTGCCTTTAATGTTGATAAGAAATAGGAGATAAGATATGTAAAATGAATTCAGATTTTTTTTTTTTCTAAAGTAAGATAAATATATAAATAAAGACAGATAATTTCACTCGTTGTTACGGACTGGTATTTAATTTAAAAGAACAAGTGTTGAAACCACAACTCAGAAGGTTGTTGTTACCCTTTATATATGCAGTCTATGGGTGTAGCAAATAAAATAAAATAAAACATATTTATATAGCCCAATATCTCAAAACACATTTGTCTCAGGGGGCTTTACACTTTGTACAGATCAACTAACATGAATGAAGCTGTACAAATATATAATACAATTCCAAGATAGACTATCTATTTGACTAAATGTTAATGTTATTGTAAAACACAAATAAAATTAAGTAAATACAAAATACAAAATAAAAATACAATAACAAATATGACCCAGAAGGATTTTCAAGGCCAGCATGAGCCAGCCCTAATTATAACAACAGATAACATAGCACAGCACTGCTCAGGGCTGACTGTAAACATACAAAAAGGAAAAACGTTTTCAAAGATGATCAGATGTTTAGCCGACATTTAAAGACAATGACACTTTATGATGAAATCTGACTCTCTTCAGTGGCAGCAGGGATGATGTTCAGAACAAACTGCGGTTGACACAATTATTTATAACACGGGAGTAACTTTTCCTGCCCTCTATGTGTAATAAGAAATATTTGTTAAATATAGTTTTAAAAGTAAATCTGAAAATAATTGTACACATGCAAAATCCAAACAACACATTGTAGTTTGTACAGCCTCCGACATTGTTACAGTAGAACAAGTGGTCAATTGTATACATCATCTTGTGAAGTGTACTAACAAGAAAAAACATAGTATATTTAGAGACTGTGCAAATGACTCACATTCAAAATGACTGATTATGGCATGAAACTTCCTAATATTTGAAAATATTTACAGTGTTAACCTTCAGTAATCATGGAACACAAATAAAATTGATCAAAAATAAAAAAAACTTTTTACAGTGTTAGCTTTGAGGTTTACTCCACACACAAAAAAAACATATTGGTTTTGCTTGTGCAAAAATATATATTTTAACGGACAAGATAGACTGTCTAGACACTGTTCTTTAAATGGTAAATAGAAGACTGCATTTATATCTCAAGCTTTATGGTGGCCGACAGGTGCAAACATGTTAAAATGGCCCAAAACATTTCCTTAAAGAGCAACACGCTGCACTTTCAAAAGCAATGTCAATTCAAATGTGCCAAAGCACATGCAAATGAAGAAACTTCTTCACCCACTTTACAAAACATGCGAAAACAAAATGCTGCAAATAAAAATCTCCAAACACCTGTCTGCCACCGTAAAACTAGGATTGAACCCTCAACCTTCTGATTGAAAGACAACTGACAGCTATACATTCACTCTTAACAGCTTAAGAACACATAAAGTGTATCGTCAAAGTTAAAGAAACTATGTGAAAGGGCCACTAAAGTTGTCAAGTGTTAACAGAAACATAATAGCCCAGTCTGCTCTGATTGGCTGGCTGGCCGGCTCTGTTGTGATTGGTCAACGGCTTAGAGATGTACCGCTCCCTAGCCCATCACGTACAATGTGTTGGAGCGCTAGGCAATAAAAGTGTCACTATGTTAAGGAAGTAAACAAAGGAGTCCAATGGAGACATTTCAGGCAGGGGGGGGGGGGAGTGTGTCGGAGAGAAACGAAACTCTGGGACTTGAGCCTTTGCAGATCATTTACATGCACATAAACCTATATAACACACCAAAGGATAAGAAAAACCCAAATAAGCTAAATAGGGCCCCTTAAATCAAGGTAATGGCATCTGAAGAACATTTATGTATATGTACTGGTTCAGTATGAAATAAAAACAAAACATGACAGTTTTGCAGCTGTGTTGGTGTGACATCTCATAAAATGTTACAAGCCTTGTTCTCAATTGCTTTCTTCAAATGTTCCTGTATCCAGTCATCTATTTCCCGCTCGTGTCTTTTCGCCAGGTCACTGACTTCTTCGTTCAGATGTTCTCTGCTGTAAAGGAAATGCGTCTTCTTCAAGTCGATCATGTCTTCTTCCTGTCTCTTCTTCAGTTTCTCTATGTCTCTTTGGAACGTTCTGTTTTTGCTCAGCTGTTTTATCATCAAGTCAGTTTTGTTTCTTTGCAACTTCCTCAGATCCTCCCTTTCCTTTTCGGACCTGTTCATATCTAATGAAACATCGTTAATAAACATGTTTCTGAATTCGTTGCACTCTTCAGCTTGCTTTCTGGCCTCCTCTTCTTTTTGCTTTCTTATTCCTCCCATATTTTTCTCATGCAGTTTGTCTAATTCTTTACACTCTCTTTCTTCATATTCCCTTCTGATCATTTTCTCTTCTTTCCTTTTCTTTTTCATCATTTGGATTTCCTGCTCCTGTTCTTGCCTTAGCTTTTCCCAGCCTCTTTGCTCCTCTTGCCTCTGCTTTTCTTCCTGATACTGTGTTTGCCACGATTCCCTTCTTTCCTTCTCCCAGGCCTCTCGTTCTTGTCTCATGTTTTTTCTATCCTGTATTACTGGCATTAAGTCAGACACAGAACTGTTTTCTGATAGATAATACAGTTTTTCTTCCAGACCTTCGAGTTTTTGTTCCCATTCGCGTCTTTGGATTTCCTCCTGCACTTTCTTCTTCCGTTCCTCCTCTGCTCTCTTGTCTCTTTCTATTTCTCTCTTGCCTTCTTCCTGCTCCATCTTCTCTATGTATTTCTCCTTTTCTTTGGCTCTCTCTCTTTCTTGATCCAGTTGAGATGTTACCTCTGCCATTTTTCTTTCCTTCTCTTTTATTTCATCTCGATGTTTTCTTTTCAGGTCCGTCTGCTCCCTCTGTATCTCTGCTTCCTTCTCTTCCATGATCTTCTCCATTTCCTTTCGTATGGCGCCCTCAGCTCCTTGGAACAAATCTGAGGTGTAGTATCCATCCCCATTGTTCTTTATCATTGTCTCAACTTTAGTCAGGAGTTGGCTGACCTGAGTGCGATTTTTCGGATCGTTGTTATTGAAGACATGGTATCTTCCTCCACATTCAGTTATCAGTTTCATTAAGGAGTCCTCCTGACCTTCTTCTATGTAACTTTCAATTGTTTGGTCTTTAAGCTCATCGCCTCTCGTGAATAAAACAATGATGAAATATTCTGACTTCTTGCCAAAAAACTCCCTGATCAGTTTCACAGTGTCCTTTTCCTCCTGTGTTAACCGACAAATCCGGAGTACCAGTAAGAACACATGAGGTCCAGGAGCCAACATGCTGATGCATTTCCCAAGCTCCTGTTGAACTTGGTCGTTGGACAGAGCTGTGTCGAACAAACCGGGGGTGTCGACCACAGCGACAGGCCGCCCGTCAATCTCTCCTGTTTCTTTTTGGCAAAGCTTGGTTACTGACTTTAGACAAACTTTGGAAGTAAAGCATTCTTTGCCCAAAATAGTGTTCCCAGTGGCACTTTTTCCACAACCAGTTTTCCCAATCAGCATCATCCTGAGACAGTCTGTACGAGTCCTGTGTCTATGCGGCACAATTGGAGGCTTGGGAGGCTGTTTCTCCTGAACCTGCTTGAGAGATTCTCTACGTGTCCCTAATGCAACAGATGCTCTATTCGGAGTCATCCTTTGAAAGTTTCTGGGACCTTTATATTGCTCCGCATTTGTTGCACTTCTTACAAGCTTAGGAAGCATCCCTTTTCTGGATCCAACAACTCTCATATTTTCTAAACGAAGTAAAACCTCAGACACTGACTGCTTGTTCTTACTGTTGCAATGGATGCCCTCAGGATCACAGAGGGAGATGCTCTCCAATGCTTCTTTCTTTCTTGCCTCCTGAGGTTTTCCAGACAAGGCAGGCAGCTCCACCAGGGTAACCTGCCTTTTAACACACTCTGATGATTCAACATGTGGACCAAACTTTCTTTCTCCCAGAAGAGCATTGGATGCTGAAGCCTTCCAGCCTCCATGTCTCCCACACAAAACCAGGTTTAGAGGTGGTTTCGTGCATTCAGGTGCTCCCATGGGACCTGTGTCTTCAGTGTAGGTTAAAAATTGTCCCCTGTTTTCATCCACTATGTTCTCCATTTTCTCCATCAGTTCTTGGTGATCATACTCAGGAAAATCATCTTCATCAAAGTCCATTATATGTTGCCTTTGTTCACAGTCTTGGATGAGTTGATTAACTGAAGGATTCCCTAGCCCATCATTTTGTGTTATGATGACCATTGCGTATTTAAAAGCATCTGGTCCAAAGAAGTTCATGAAGAACTTGATTTGTTGCCTATCCTGCTCAGTAAAATCAGAAGGGTTCACTAACAGTAGCAGAACATTTGGTCCAGGGGAGCAATTAAACACACACTTCTTTATCTCATGTCTAACTTTCTCCAGTGGCAGACTGAAGACGTCTGCAGTTTTCAGAATTGTGAAAGGTTTTTTCCTCCACTCTCCCTCGGCATGTACACATTGCTTTGGGGTTCTTGGGAGAGAACCATCTCTTTTTGCAGTGATGAAGTTACTCAGTGTTGTCTTTTCATTTGGATTTTTTCCAAATATCGCAATCCTGAGGTCAGACACTGTAAAACAATGAGAACAAAAGCATTAAAAAGTAACATGACTCAATGACGGAATATCATTATCCTCATTAATCCTTCATTCATGTCACTTATAAATCTATTTTCAAAGAATTTTAGGGACAGGCATATATAAATAATATTTGGACAACACAGCTGTTACATCTTTCCATTATCATTCTGTCCATTCCATTTAGCCACTTGAAAGTTATATAATGTAATGATGAATGTAAGCACATTAATTCAATACAATACAATCTTTTAGCCATAAACTGTACAACATTTGAGTTTCTTTTCAATGTATAAGATCATCTGGAAAACATCAGAAGTCTTGACGACTATTAGCTTTCTTTATTGATGTCACTTTGTTTGGTGTTTGGTGCTGGGCAGGTTGGGTTGAAGCTTGTTTGCGGCTGGCTGCTGTTGCTGTAACCAGGTTTAATAATTATTTCAGTGTTATCAATACAAAATTCAGAACTGATGATGGTTGAGGGATTGCTTTACAATATTTTTAACATAGTGATACTTATCCTGCGGCTGGCAGCTAAGGGCGTTAACAACAACAAGAGGGCAAACAACAGCAGTGACATTAGCTAGCCAGGGTGACTCACACTTAGAGGAACTCACATGCACACTGAACTAGTTAAGATGGCAGGGCACAGAGAAACTCAGATTACAAAACACAGAACGAAGGGTGCCTTCATTCCTTGCTACACTACATTTTAGCATGCATCTTTATTATTATTATTATAATTTTGGTTAATCTCAATTTTGGAAACAGTCTTTATAGCCCATTAAGTCTGTTCCCTTTTTGTTCATAGTAAAATATATTTTTGTTTTTATCAATGCAACTTGTAGAAAGAACAAAACCAAAGCATTCCTCGGAACTCTTCATAATGCAAAGTTCAGTTTGTGAACATTAAAACTCACTAGATAGGATAATATCCACATTATTGTGGATTATTACTCAGTTACTATAGATTCTCTCAGCCAGCAATCGTCTTATACCAACTTTGGCCCACCGCCATCATTCTTCTTTGTCAACTTCATTTCTGATCATGTCATGCATTTCATTAAAAAATGTCTTATCAGTGACAGAACATATTTATTTCATGAATCCAATTGGACTTACCGCACGCTGATTTCTTCATTGTGTGATAGAGGAATTCCACTTGTAGTTGCGCCTGTTGGGGCATAAAAAAAACCCTTACAAGCATTGTTATTTTCAGAAACAATATTCTGGTTATTCTGGGTAGTTTACAAACTGGTGGACAATATACAGTCCTAATGGGATAAGAAACCCTGCGCTTGCAAGTTTAGCAAATCATTCAAACATATTTATCTCAATAACACTTGTATGTTAGACTATCAGCCAACCATGTTAATTTGTGAATGTATAGATTAACAATGTTCAAATATCTAAATAGTGTGTGGTTTATTCATAGTGAAATACAATATTAGAAGGTTTCCTAAGGGTGCATTCATTGTTTTAGATATAAATATGACCATAGTGTATTATATAAACAGCAAAAAGTGGGTTCAGTTAAATACATTTGAATGCGTAACTTATGCATTAAATATGTCTTAAATATGCGGAATATGTTGAATAGTTAAACATAACGAATTATATTGTTTTCATAATAAAAGATTGGCATAATTATCATGAATTATAAACCGAATAAATGTTTCATTTTTATTTTCATATAGGGAAATTTGCTTTGTTTCAGGTTGCTACATTTCTCTTCTTTACAGTATTCTCTCCTCCCATTGCCAAATATGCTACACTTACCTGAAGTTGTTGTATCTTTAATTGCAGTTGATCCTATTGTTGGTTGAAGTCATATCATATCTTGTGTTACAGCATACTGTCCAAATTCAAAGTGAAGCAGTGTGGTATGTCAGATCCCCATGCCTGAACGTTAAACACGTGCAGATATCAATAAACTGTTTTGATTCATCTAAGTTGTTGGTTCTAGGCAACCTTAATACGTTTTATTATGTGCATTGTTATAAATCTCATAATCAGTCGCATTTATCATCTGTTAGATCTACTCACCAGAAAGGAATATCTTGTTTCGCCACATCTGAAGCCGCAGCTCAAAAATGAATTCAAAGCATTCAAGGCTTAGTATGCCAACAACAAAGGGGCTGGGCCAACAACCTGGCAAACAAACTATTGGTGGATGAAAACAAGTGAAATAGTATGACAACTTATGGGAAACCAGGGGACTTTCCATTGTCTCCTTTCGGAACTTCGCTGAAGAGTGGTTGAGAAACGTGTCTCTTTCTCTTTGAATTGAATTAACCATGCATATCCAGGAAAAATCTGAAAATACTCACATGGCGGGGAAGTGCAGCTGGGGACAGGTATAGATGACAAATATTTGGTACATATTAAAGATACCATATTGGCTCCTGTTAAATAACTCCGTTTTGCAAAGGGAGGCACATGAACTAGCTGTACCATGAATGTATGAATCATAACTCTAAACCATGAATGCCCCTTTTGAGCCACAGTTTGTCACAAAATAATTGGTACAGCTCGAGTTTGTTGTCAACTCATAGTTGCCCTGAAGCAAAGTTATGCCCTTACATATTTCCCGTAGCATTGTTGGGTGGAGTCTCAGAAAGAATTATGTAAGGCAAGGCAAGGCAAGGCAAGTTTATTTATATAGCACCTTTCAACACAAGGCAATTCAAAGTGCTTTACAAAAAATGAAAGACATTAAGAAAATGGCATTTAAAATCAGTCATTAAAAAGCAAAGATAATAAAATAAACATTAAAAGAAAAAATACATGGATAAAAGTTACAGTGCAGTTTAAGATGTGAATAGTTCAATTAAAAGCAGCGGCAAAAAGAAAAGTCTTCAGCCTGGATTGAAAAGTAGTCAGAGTTGCAGCGGACCGGCAGATTTCTGGGAGTTTGTTCCAGATATTTGGAGCATAATAACTGAACGCTGCTTCTCCATGTTTAGTTCTGACTCTGGGGACAGAAAGCTGACCAGTCCCTGAAGACCTGAGAGTTCTGGATGGTTCATAATTTAGCAGTAGGTCAGAAATGTATTTTGGGCCTAAACCATTCAAAGCTTTATAAACCAGCAGCAATATTTTGAAATCTATTCTTTGACACACAGGAAGCCAGTGTAAAGACTTCAGAACAGGAGTGATGTGATCCACTTTCTTAGTGTTAGTGAGGACTCGAGCAGCAGCGTTCTGAATTATCTGCAGCTTTCTAATAGATGTTTTAGTGAGACCTGTAAAGACACCATTACAGTAGTCCAGTCTACTGAAGATAAAAGCATGTACAAGTTTTTCCAAATCCTGCTGTGACATTAGTCTTTTAATCCTAGAAATATTCTTTAGGTGATAGTAGGCTGATTTAGTAATTGTTTTAATGTGACTGTTGAAACTCAGGTCAGAGTCCATGACTACACCTAGATTTCTGGCTCTATCTGTTGTTTTGAACATTGCAGACTGAAGCTCAGCGCTAACTTTTATACGTTCTGCCTTGGCTCCAAAAACCATTACCTCAGTTTTATCTTTGTTTAATTGGAGAACGTTCTGACACATCCAGTCATTGATTTGTGCACTTGCTCCAGTCATTGATTTGTGCACTTGCTCAGTGTTTGAATTGGAGCATAGTCTCCTGGTGAAATGGTTACGTAAATGTGTGTGTCATCCGCATAGCTATGGTAACTTATTTTGTAGTTTTTCATTATCTGAGCCAGTGGTAGCATGTAGATGTTAAAGAGAAGAGGCCCCAAGATGGAGCCTTGAGGTACCCCACATGTCATATTTGTCAACTCGGATGTGTATTTACCTATAGAAACAACGTTTTTTGTGTCCTTTAAGTAGGATTCAAACCCATTTAGAACTGTTTCCGAAACAACTGCTTTACTGGAAAAATATCTGATGCTATCACACATCCAACAATGTCACTCAGCTACTTAGATCTCCCAGCAAAAAAACAAAATCTTATCCCCACTGCTTTCAAGCATACTTTTTGACCAAAGAAGGCATTGGATAAAATACTACCTGAGACCCCCGCAGGATTGTGTCTTTAAACATGCGTTAAATGCTGTTTCACTGATTGATTACGATTCTGGTTGACCTAAAATGTATTACAGATAAAAAAAGACATTCGTAATACTCAATCTTTTCATCTCTCCACACACACTATGTATACAGTCACAGACATTTTATATAAAAAGAATTCAGTCAGTTGTTAGTGATCTTTAATATAAAAGTGTAAAAAACTAGTGTAGAATCCACATGTCAAAAGGTTGGTGTTACAAACAAGTCCACTGCACTTCACAGCTATGAGTGTAAGAGTGTAAGTAAGAAAACAGAAGACACTTGTGCATGGCAGTATGTTCATATACCCGGCACGCACTTAAAGACAATAAACCTTTATAATGAAATATGACACCTAAAAAAAAACCTGTGTTTTTACCCAAAGAATAGGCAACAGTGGCAGCGGATATTAAAAAATAAGTGCAGCAAATGTAATCCAATTATTCAACAAGTAAGCTGCAGCTCTGCCACATTTATGTACACCACATTAGTAAGTATTCATTACCCTCTGTAAATGTAATAAGAAATCATTTTCAAATATTGTGTAGTAAAATCCGAACAACATCATAGTACTTTGTAAAACATGCTTATAGATGTTTGTGCATCAGCTCTTGGAAAACAAATGTTACAATTCAAATATTTATGAAACATTTTCCCTGATGTTAAAGTGTGTACAGGTAACAAAACAGTATATTTGCATATTAATAATAATAATCATAATCCATTTTATTTATAAAGGCGCCTTTCAAGGCTCTCAAGGTCGCCGTACACAAAACACAAATCAAAAAAACAAAATAGCACAAAAACAACGCAACATAATCAATAAAAAAACACATTGTGCGGAGAATCCACATTATAAATGAGTAAATAAGGGATGTATACTTTCATATATTGAAGTGAAAGCAGTAAGAACTGTCTGTTATTATAAACATGACTGAACAAAAGAATAACACAAAAATATTTACTTTGTGAGCTAACAAATAGACATTCCTAGTGTAACAAAAAAATATATGTGATCTTGATGCATCAATTTTTAGCCACAGGCAAGGTTGTTGATGGCTTTGCTGTGAGTAATATTTTAGAGTCAATCCTGTATATGATCGGCAGCCAGTGGAGGTCATGGAGGATAGGGGAAAAGAACAGCGGTTGGAACTGAGAATGCAGGCAGTAGAGATTTGGATATCATTTAGTTTTTTTAGAATGTAAGCAGGTAAAACATCGAATGCTGTTGCATCAAGTCTGGATGTAATGAATGCATAGCTCTCAGTTTCAGCTGTGAAGGACATAAAGGGTTGGATACGGGCAATGTTGCTTGAGTGCAAGAAGGCAGTTTTCATGTTGTGGTAAAAGCGCAGAGTATGGAGAGAGTGGGGTCTAGAACAATGCAAGGGTTACGGACATGAGTACAGGTTTTTAGAATAGAGCTCTTGATATTAAGTAGAACATATGCTCGTATATCCAAAAAATCGTTTAAAATGTTGCCATTTTTAATATTTTGTTTTACTTCGCATATTGACTGGCTAATGTGCCATTTTATTTGTGTTTTACAGCTGTATTTGTCTGCCTGTCTTGTCTGTGTTTTATCTGTTGTAACTTTGTTCATGCTGCCCTTCTTGGCCAGGTCACTCTTGGAAAAAAGATTTTAATCTCAATGAGTCTTTTTACCTGGTTAAATAAAGGATATATATTGTGATGAAGAATCAGTAATGAAAAGAAAAAAAAGCAGGGGACCAAGTAAAGAGCCATTGGGGACACCATGGGTGACTGAAGCAGTGCAGTTATATATGGATGGATATATGAATGGAGGTGTCGAGGGTGGGTGGGGGGGTGCCAGGTATGCCAATGGAGGAGCATTGCAAAAACATCTCATAAAATGTTACATCCCTTGTCTTTGACTGCTTTCTTGAAATGTTCCTCTATCCAGTTATTTAATTGCCTTTCATGTGTTTTCTCTAGGTCACTGATTTGTTTATGTTCTCTGTTGTGCAAAACATGTTTCAACTTCAACTCATTCATTTCTTCTTCTTGTTTTTTCTTCAATTTCTTTAGGTCTCTCCCGTAAACTTTGTTCCTACTAAGCAGCATAATCATCACGTCATTGTTGTATTGTTGCTGCTTCAGATCCTCCATTTCCTTTTCTTTCTTGTCATCAAGCACCTTTCTGAATGTTTTGTCTTCATTTTTCTTCATTATTTCTTGCCTTCCTTTTTCCTCAATGTCCTCATATTCACTTCCGATTATATCACCTTCCTGATATTGTTCGTCCTTGTTTTCTTCCTCTCGGGCAATTTTTTCTTCGTAGACTTTGAGATCTTTTTTTTCCAGAGATTTAAGCTTTTGCTTCCACAGTTTTTTGAATTCCTCTTGCATTTTCTTGCTCCTTTCCTGCTCTTCTCTCCTTTCCCTTTCGAATGTCCTCTTCCTCTGCTCCATCTCTATCTCCTTTTCTTTGACTCTCTCTATTTCTTGATCCAGTTTCGATTTTTCCTTTTTTAAGTTTCTTTCCTTTTCTGGCATTTCTTCTTGATGTTTTCTTCCTAGGTCCCACAAATCTGAGGTGTAGTAGCCCTCGCCATTTTTCCTTATCATTGACTCAACTTTGGTCAGGAGTTGGCTGACTTGAGTACGATTCTGTCGATCTTTGTTATTGAAGACATGGTATCTTTCTCCGCATTCAGTTATCAGTCTTGTTAAGGAGTTATCTTCATCTTCTTGTATGTAACTCTCAATTCTCTGGTCTTCAAGTTCATCACCTCTGGTGAATAAAACAATGATGAAATCTTCTGCTTGCTTGCCAAAAAAACCCTTGATCAGTTCCACAGTGTCCTTTTCCTCTTGTGTAAATCGGCCGATCCGCAGCACCAGTAAGAACACATGAGGTCCAGGAGACATCATGCTGATGCATTTCACAAACTCACGTTGAACTTCATCATCTGACAGAGCTGTGTCGAACAAACCGGGGGTGTCGACCACAGCGACAGAGCGCCCGTCAATCTCTCCTGTTCCTTTTTGGCAATGCTTGGTTACTGACTTTTGAGCAATCTTCGAAGTAAAGCATTCTTTGCCCAAAATAGTGTTCCCAGTGGCACTTTTTCCACAGCCAGTTTTCCCAATCAGCATCATCCTGAGACAGTCTGCACGAGTCCTGTGTCTATGCTGCACAATTGGAGGCTTGGGAGGCTGTTTCTCCTGAACCTGCTTGAACAATTCTCCATGTGTCCCTATTGCAACAGATGCTCTATTCGGAGTCATCCTTTGAAAGTTACTGGGACTTTTATATTGCTCCGCATTTGTTGCACGTCTTACAAGCTTAGGAAGCATCCCTTTTGTGAAGCCACTGGATCCAACAGCTCTCATATTTTCCAAAGAAAGTAAAACCTCAGACACTGACTGCTTGTTCTTAATGTTGCAGAAAGTATATTTCCCACCAAAGGTCAGAAGGAGTTGTTGGATGTCTCTGTTTTCGTTTAGAAACCTCCTAACATTATTATTATTTGCATCAGAAAGGAAAAGAATCATGGTAAAATCATTGATCCTATCGCTGAACGTGTTTCGGATGGTCTCTAGCTCTTTCTTGTCTTCCTCACTTGGGGGTTCTAAAGGCAGGACCAGGACAAAGCAATGGACGCCCTCAGGATCACAGAGGGAGATGCTCTCCAATGCTTCTTTCTTTCTTGCCTCCTGAGGTTTTCCAGACAAGGCAGGCAGCTCCACCAGGGTAACCTGCCTTTTAACACACTCTGATGATTCAACATGTGGACCAAACTTTCTTTCTCCCAGAAGAGCATTGGATGCTGAAGCCTTCCAGCCTCCATGTCTCCCACACAAAACCAGGTTTAGAGGTGGTTTCGTGCATTCAGGTGCTCCCACGGGACCTGTGTCTTCAGTGTAGGTTAAAAATTGTCCCCTGTTTTCATCCACTATGTTCTCCATTTTCTCCATCAGTTCTTGGTGATCATACTCAGGAAAATCATCTTCATCAAAGTCCATTATATGTTGCCTTTGTTCACAGTCTTGGATGAGTTGATTAACTGAAGGATTCCCTAGCCCACAATTGTGTGTTATGATAACCATTGCGTATTTAAAAGCATCTGGTCCAAAGAAGTTCATGAAGAACTTGATTTGTTGCCTATCCTCCTCAGTAAAATCAGAAGGGTTCACTAACAGTAGCAGAACATTTGGTCCAGGGGGGCAATTAAACACACATGTCTTTAACCCGTGTTTAACTTTATCTACAGGCTGACTGAAGACGTCTGCATTTTTCAGAACTTTGAAAGGTTTTTTCCTCCATTCTCCTTGGACGTTTAATTGCTTTGACATTTTTGAAGAACTGTCTTTTTTTCCAGTAATGAAGTTACTTAGTGTTGTCTTTTCATTTGGATCTTTTCCAAATATTGCAATCCTGAGTTCCGATGCTGTAAAACAATGAGAAAAAAAACAAAAAAAAGACCATCTAGTTAGCAGCCAAAAGCAGTAACAGCAACAACAGTGCAAACAAAAGCAGCGACATTAGCTAGCCAGAGGGACACACACATAGAACGACTCGCAATTATGTTCATTCGGCTGGCTATGTGGAAACATTTCAGAGAAGTTTGGATTGCAACACACAGGCTACATTCCAAATAGAGACATCCCTAAACCACTTGAAAGTGCCTTTCCAAACCAACTAGTGGGGAATGGGAGTTGGTTATTATAGTAAATATTTGAATGGAACTTTTTGTACACAGTTAGTTTCATGTCATACACAACAAGTGTTGAACATGGTCAGGCAAGGCAGCTGGTTAAGTCAGGACTGATGCTTTTGGAGGTCTTAATAACACACTCCCAGAACTGTCTTATAATAATTTTGGTCTGCTGCCTTCATTCTTTTTTGTCATTGACAACTTCATATCCGATCATGTCATGCAAGGTAGTGACTACTTTACTTACCACAAGCTGATCGAGCCATTTTGTTTTTGAGAAATTCCACTTATGTTGCTGCAGTTGATGCCTTGGGTTTAAGAAAACAAAGTTATAATGAAGTTAAGGGATGCTATAATGTGTTAGTTATTTTAAGTAACAATATGCTGGTTATGCAGGACACTTCACAAAACTCTGAACAAGTACTAATGGGATAAACAGGAAAAGGCGATGCTAGTTATTCCAATGGAAGAGCAGTGCAATCAGAGCAGACTGGGCTCTGGTTTCAGACAGAGGGTGAAAAGAGGTGCTGCAGCACAGGCAGTATGAGAAAAATAAAGAGCTTTTTGAACATTAAAGCATGGAGACATTTCACAGTAGAGCAGGGGTGTCAAATTCAAGGCCGGCAGCCAAACCCGGCCCACGACTTCATTTGATGTGGCCCGCAAGAGCTTGCAAAGAATATAATATACAATACAATTGATGTAATTGTTGAATATTTGCTTTCAATTATTTGCCCTAGACCTCTGCTTTCAGACGTAGTTATTTAGGAAGTTATTACCAGAACTGATAATAATCCAATGCAGAGCCAATAATGTAATATAATACATCATTTAATATATATTATATATTTACATATGTATATTTATATAGTCTTAAAGTTACAACCGGCCCTTTGAGTGCAACCATAATGCTGATGTGGCCTGCAATGAAATTGAGCTTGACACCCCTGCAGTAGAGGAACAAAATGGTCTGGTTGTTGTTTACTCAATATTCTGCTTTTCAACATTCTGTTCGGACTGCATCATAGCCTCTTTGTGCATTCATGTATAGCACAGATTTCATCTCACGTGTTATCACTGAAAACCACTACAATGCATACAGTGCTTTCATTAATAACGAAACCATGCCACCTTGTATGCGATTGGATAGCATTATTCACAAAATACATTAAATAGAGCAGGTCCGATAAAATAATAGAAACCTTTTACCGAAAGCTATTTATTTATTTTGTATTGCCATTGATATTACAGTAATAACGATGGAAATCATGTACATATTGTACATTTTCCCTTTTGATTGTAATTGGTGGAGCTGTTTTAATTCATCTAACAATCTTCACACCTACTGACCTTCAACCATTGTTGCCATTATAGGCTTTCCATCTACATTTTTATACTTCTCATCCGTTATTTGTTGCATTTATGATTAGTTTATTGTACTCACCAGAACAAGAATCTTGCTGCATTACTTCTCACGTCCCAACTTTAAAAAGTCTAAAGTCAAAGTATCCAAGACTAGCCGCTAAGACAACAAATAAAATAAAGGGTAGGGCCAACACATAGACAAATACCTCTTGAAGGCTGATAACACACAGGTGCGCAAGTAAGAAGAAAATATGCAAGCTATGTTGCTGCCTTCTTGGCCAGGTCAGCATTGAAAATGAGATTTGAGATACAGTAGTCTGGTTGTTTATGTTATATATATTTGCTGGCCCGAAACCGGGTCAACAGATTGGCAATGCCCCAGAAAGTTGCATTTTCAATTCTCAAGTTAATATGTCATAAACTATGTTGTTTTCACTTCAGTGAAATTCAAGATGCACATATGTTACATATAGACAGGGAGAAATGCTTCTTATTAATCAGCAATTTCAATAAACTGTTGTGCCCGTGCCACCTATTATTCTAAAAGAATAATAGGTGGCACGGGCACAACAGTTTGGCCCTCCTTCGCATATCAAATGCCCAGCCATGGATTCAAAACCTAAACGTCACCCTGCAGGATTTTAATCAGTAGTGCTTAATCCAGGAACAGGTCAAGTGATCTTAAAAGCAGTTGCACAAGGTACACGGTACTTTTTTATGCTATATTTACATTGAAGGAATTGCACTCCCATAGACAGAGCTATTAGCTGAAACATGTGAGTGCACTTCTGATCAATGCCGAATAACCGGAACAACTTGTCCATACCAGGAAACAGCAACAGATACAGTAGGTGATGATGACAGTATTATGATTTCCTTGTTCCTTTTCAGCAAAGGTTATTGTCTTTTCAAATAAAGAAACAATCCCCAAACACATTTCTGGACATGAGCTTCCTTTATCAGTACAGATAAGTTTCCAGTTAAAGTACCGGAAAAGTACTCTCCCTTCTTGCAATTCCAGTCAGTCCTGAGCTGCATTCCCTTTTGATTTATTTAATGTTTCTATTTGATACAAATTGCTGTGGGAATCTTGTGCTAAGCCTGGGCAATAAACACGCTCTGTGATGCTTATTCAGCATCAGAGTAATAGATTAGTGTGTTTTACATGGGATGTCAACTACAAAACTTTTGAACGGTGCGCATATTTTGTGTGTCAGAAAATTGTACTGTAGTTAATCTTGACGTAAATGTACTTTAGCGATACTTTATCATGCCATTTAAAATGTCCACTCACCTTTTACTTCACAACATTTATCCGACAGCTTTAGTTACTTTATAGATTCAGATTATTGGCTAATACCAAATATAAATCAATAAATAAAGGAAAACTGGCTCTGTATCTGCTGTAAGGGTGATGAACTTGACGTACTTCAGTTGTAACTCATTCACGTTGACATTAAATTAAACGTTGGTGTTGTGGAGTGAACCTTGAGGCGGGGGTTTGAAGCTGAACTGTTCTTTCTCCGTTTGAGGATTTTTCTGCTCGCCATCCACAATGTTACTTTTCCATCGCTTCCTCATTTCACAAACTAAGGAGCAGGCCGAGGGTCCCAGAGCGTGTGTGCGTAGCGTTGTTTAAACTAAGTTGCGTTAACACATTATTATTAACGCGATTACATATCATAATCGATAGACAGCACTCGTGTATACACATCGCTACACCGTAAGGTAATAAAATGTATTCATTTCACACTTTGTTTGTGTTATAATGTAAAAGCTGATCATAAATCAATTTTTGCTTTGTGTGAAAACATACAGAGGAAAGATCAAAGCGCTGTTGGTACTGGTCCCGCTGATGTGCCAGACGAACAGTTTTACACTCAACCGCGCTGCTGAGCGGCAGCGGGGGTCTTTGTTTTTCATACCTGAGAGCCTGCTGGATGTGTTTGATTTATAACACAGCCTCGCCTGAATGTAGCAGCATGTATGTATTAAAGACCTATGTTTGAAATACATACAAGCCGCTACATGTCTCATTTTTCATCCTGGGAGGTCATCGGGTATGTTTGATTTACAGCCCAATGCCTCCTGAATGTGTTTTTACATGGATCCAACAGCACCACACCCCTTCCCTGGTGTGGAAAGAACTACTAAAACACATGCACACTCTGAAAACACAGATCTTCAGGATGGCTCATTTCGACTTCTCAAAAAAGTCTGTTCTTTATCAGTACTTTCAACAACTTTTGGGGAAATGGATGTGTTCACAATTGTGTTAGCTTGTGTCCGTATCCATTTTCCACGCTCAGATGTTGTATCCAAATCTGTACTAATGGAATTTTTTTTATGTAACTGTGTCGAAAGAGTACTTTTAGTGTGAAATGTATAAATATATATTGTTTTAAATGTCAAAGTTTGCCATTGATCTTTAGATGGCCTTGGTGGGGTGTTAAGTGCTTGGGAAATGTATGTCTTTTGGCTTAAAACTAGAAGGATTTCATTGGATAATACTCCCAAAAAGCTCCAAGTCTCCAAAACTTGCTTTTGTAAAAACAATATTTTATTATTTAAGCCTGTCAAGTCTTTGATAATAAATCATTAAAATGGCCCTATAATTGTTATTAATTAACAAGAGGGCGTTACCTAACATGTTGTGTTCAACAGGATAATCTCCACATATTAACACCACTATGTTATTTTTGAAGCATAAATGCAATCTCCGGAAGGAAAAGCTAACGCTAGCTAATAAACAAGCTACATGGCTGTCACATGGATGCACATTACCACTGCTAAGCCAAAGGCTGACTTGCGTCGGCGTGATGACGTTTAGTCTCATTTAAGCAACCGCTGTTTTTATAACATTCACCAGTGAAGTATTTACTGAAAAATATGATATCGTAGAACAAAACGGTATACTGGCACAACTGTAAAGACACTTTTACATACATTAAGAAGAGTACACATCCACTTAAAAGCATCGACAAAAGAAAACTTTACATGGAAAACTGTAAAGGAAAAAAAGAGACTGTTGTTTTATATTATTTTCCAAAATTGCATATTTATTCATAATTTCCTTATTTCTCTACTCCTCCTTTTTCTACTTTCTTTTATTTGCTCCCTCTGGTTGTCTTCCTTTTTTAAATGTCACACAGCTGGCATTCCCCCTCCAGTCTGGCTCAGATTTTGGACATAGTTTAATAGTCTGTTGGTCAAATGGGGCTTTTGATTGCATCAAGAGATGCTTTAGTAACGTAAAGGCAAACTTAATTAGTGAACCTTTCTCACAAATGAAGGCCGATGTGTTTTGAATTATGTTGACATTAAAACTCAGTTAACGATTACATTTCAATTATTTTCATTTTACGTGGTTGTCTGATGCTGTCTGCTGAGAGTAATTCGTCTCCTGGCTATGAGGCGCTTTGGCCAGTTACAATCCTATAAGTCTGACAACTTTGTAATTTGGACAAAAAAACATGTGGGAACAATCTTTTAAATGTTGTTGTTAGAATGATATTTTTGGACGGATAGAGTGTTGTCTCCGTGTTAGAGTGACCCAGGAACCAGTCATCTAAATGGCAGCGTGTTTGAACTATACATCATGGTCATTAATCTGTCCGAACAAAGTGAGAGACACCAGATATCTCCCATTAATCATTTGATAAAAATCCCATTAATCATTTGATAAAAATTACAAAATCAGACCTGGACAGCGTCACCAGCGCGTCACAACGTCCTGTCAGCGGTTTGTTTTTGCCTTGTCAGAGGCAGAGTTTAAGGATGATGATAACGTCAGACACATACTTTGATTAAGTGAGTTATCCAGATAGACCTAACACTAGCTGTCGAAATTCATGGTCCTCAGATGAGAATGTAGTGTGTTATAAAGGTCTTTGTGCATGTTAATGGTCTGCAAAGACTAAAATCCCAAAGTTACCTTCAGAGGTTTAGATTAAGATTTGTTGTAATATTCTTTTTGCATTCTGCATATAGATTTTTCAAAAATATTTATAAGATACCAAAAGTAGCGAAACCTTATTTGTGTGACACTTTTTCAAATGAATGTGTTCGTGTTTTATTGCAGGTCCTGTATCTTCTACCGAGCGTGTATGGATATCCCCAGAGGAACAGAGCTGCTGGTTTGGTACAATGACTCCTACACTTCCTTCTTCGGAATCCCCCTGCAGTGCGTCGCTCAGGATGAAAACTGTAAGAGAACTATGGTCACCTTTCTCCTTATCTGTCTGTTTTCTCCCTGTATTTTTATTGAACTTCAGTTTTCAAAATGGCAGAAAAACACAAAAAAAAAACTATCCTATGATGTTTCTCAATTTGGTTACTTCCCTTAGTACAATTCATGTTGTGTACTGTTAACAGAATGCATTTTTATAGCACTGTGTTGACTGATGCAACTGCAAATGGGCTTCCGTTATGTAGCCAAGATGGCAATCATTGAGTCCCAGAAGTGTGCTGCGTTCCACATTGAACTTTTTTAACGTTACACACCATCTTGGTAGTTGCATTTTTCCATACTTTGCATTTGGACACACAAATGCACACACAACAGCAAATGTAAGTACAGAAGCACACAATTTGAAAGATAGCACTATGTTTTTAAGAGACATTTTTAGTGTGTGATATCTCCTTGTACGACATAATATTGTCTCCTTTGACTTCTGGAACAAATAACCTTCCTTGAGTATGGCTGGCTAAAATGTATTTAAGCAAGAAAGTGAAGTATTTACACTAGCTGAACAGTGAGGTAATCCCATGACTAGCTGCATTGAGATAAGCTGACAAAATTGTCAGATAAATGTTTCACATCTAAATGTGACTAACATCTAAGCATAAACAAACAGCTTTGTTTTGCATGACAAAAAGAAACTACATTATTTAAACTCTTAGACTGGAAGAAGCTTCTGGCCTGCCACGTAAACAACGCAGTAAGCGTGCAGGTTTATTCTTTTACAAACTTGCTGCTGTCTGATTTATTAGTCTGACAAGCCGGGCCAGTCAAAACAAGACTGGAACAAGTCTTTATTCGCCCAAATGTAGGAACCCTGTGGGCTGGTGTCAACCCGTTTTCCCTCTCCCCCTGTTCCGCTTCTACAAGCAACACTTCTCTTTTTTAAAGAAGAGATTCCATTTGAATGTTTTATTTTCTTCCTCCATAAACTAACATATACACGTTAATGAAACTCTTTCTTTCATCAAGGATTGTCAGTCTTATTGTCAACATAGTTGTTCTTTGGGTTAACAATTTGCGTGGTCAAAATTCAGCATGTTACTTTTCTGGCAGAGAATACAAATTATGAATTTATGCTAAATTTGATTTCACTGGCGGTAAATACAGATTCTGAGGTTTTCAATAAACACATCAAACAATTAAGAATACCATGCATATTTTTTTTTATCTACAAGAAGCCCAATTACAATAGTCAGTCAGGCATACAATATTGTCATTGGAGATCGATGATCTGCGTATATATAGTTAAATTAAACTCTATAGAGAATCGACGTCCTGTCAGTCTGCCGGTGGACGAGTGGCTGGGAGCAACACTCAAACTGGGATTTACTTGGCTTGTCATTGTTTTATATCTCAATTCAGCATCTATCGTCACCACTTTGACTTTTAACATTACAACTGTTTACTTTGACAATTGACGTTAACCTTATTAGCATCATAATCAAGCTGTGAAGAAGTGTTTTCCACAGATGTAGAAGTATTGACTGACCGATCTCTGCCCTCTCTGTGGTGGCCTGAAGACACAGATATTTTCTTTTATTGTCCTTTTTCAGTTTTCTTTTAAAGTAAAAGTATATTCAAATCAGAACTTTGGATCTTTTTGATGTTTGACGTGTAATAAAGAAGAAAAGCGGGCGGGCCATCATTTCGCAGTACCGTAGCGCTGCTCTCACCTGTTTATCGTCTTATTTAATTTCTGTCGGAACTGTAGGGAGGCGTGTGGCGCAGTGGATAGAGCCTTGATCTGGGGAATAGATGGTCACAGGTTCAAACCCCATTGCAGTCAGTTTGTCGTTGTGTTCCTGAGACACTTCACCCCAAAGTGCTCCTGTGGGGATTGCCCACAGTATTGAGTATGTTAGTCGCTTTGGATAAAAGCGTCTAACAAGTAACATGTCATGTAATGTAACTAGTAGTTCTTTGACAGAACAATCATATGTTATACTGTATAGCCTGTAATACCCTTATATTTGTTAGGGTTAGTCACTGTTACATTAGGCTGTTGGGGAAAACTTTGTGTACAACTCACTTTTTTCATTAATCAGACTTACGTTTGATATAGGTCGTTTGTGTGACAAACATTGTGGATACAAAGCTAGATGACGCACAAAGTCAGTTGTTTGTTAAAAGTCCCATCCAAGTTGACATTTTTGAAATTTAAACTGGTTGAATTTTTTTTTATATAGATGTGACGTTCGAGTCCTTATTAAAAAACAAGGAATAATGTTTCTTTCTTTGATATTTCCCTCCTCCACTTCCACTCTCTGTGTCCTTTCTCCTCCCTCTGTTTCATTTCCATTGCTCCTCTCTTTGTCTGTCACCAATTTATTGTGTTTACATCTCGTCTAGTTTTCTGCTCCGTCAGCCTGTGTATATATCTTCCCTTCAAACTGTTTTTCTCTGCATTTGACAGTAACTTTACCCTGCAGGGGGAAAAAAACAATCTATGAGATTTTCTTTTTTCGCTTACACAATTATGGGCAGAACAAAACATGAAGAATGAGTTTAATCTGTGGAATCTAAATTGAAATGAATTGAATTAGGAGCTTGTCTTTCACGGAGTCGCAGTTCAATGAGATCGTGCTGATTGCAAATTAGAGACGTTTGGCCACAAACCGGTTTGTTTTACAGATGGAACGACTCTTTTACATGACATTGTTCATCATGACAGGACTGTAGCAGCCTTTGCACATACAGTACAATACACACACATTTGTATCATGTACAATGTTCTTTTAGGACCTTTGTTAGTACATTTCTTACCAAACCTTTTTCTCTCATGTAAACAGAAATATACAAGATGTGTTGTTGTGTGAGGGGATAGCGATTGGCATTTAAGCGTGATGAGAACCATCTTAAGCCATTTACGTTTTGTTTCTATGGTAACGTCCCCTGTTAGCTTGCGCCGCTACCTACAGTACAGTTGTCATCTGATTGGTTGTGCATATTCGTCTAAATCAGCTAATATGGCCAGATCTGGATAACTGAACTAATCTTATATCCAAGATTAATATAATTGTTTTATATTTTGCCTAATTAAAGCTTATATTATGAGGCTTTTATTACGGAAGTGCACCTTGCTATTAACAGTGTCCACCTAATAAAAACACAGAGGCCCCGTAGTCCAAACAAAACCAAAACAGCAAATGTTTGCATTTTTACCTTTCACAATAAAAGCCACACTTAAATGTACTTTACATTGTAAAATATTGTAATGCTTAAGATAAAGTAATGTTGGCCTCCAGAGCCAGTAATCATAATAATATACCGTACCATAAGTATTTATCTGTCCATTATTCTTTCTATTAAAAGATGCAAGAAGGATGACACAAGCACAAGGTCCTTTTCTTTAGAAAAACGAAAAATCTGATTTGAGATGACTCTTCCATTCATGTGAAGACATTTGGTTCTCAGATGTTCAAAAACACAGAAACATTGTGTACCAGCACACACACTGGCAGAGGGCAAACAAAGACTGGAAGGTTTGCTTTTGTTCCACCCTGCAGTTTGTTCACATCCCAATTACGTGAAATTAGATTATGCCTTTTTGTACAAACTGAAAGACAGCAGCTCTGCTCTAAATTAAAGACAGTTTGCCACTAACTGCATTTGGGTTTTCCATGGCATCGTTATCTGCTGATTGTGCCCACAAAGGATGAGTATGACGTCAAAACTGCGTACTGGAGAAAGGAGGACTGTGACTTTGTGTCCTCAGTAGAACAGACATTTAAAATGTTAACCTTTATTGATGCAGAGAGCCCTGACTGAGCACGTTCAAACGGAACTGGCCATTCAAGTTTAAAATAGCCCTTTATCACAAAGCATGCCTCAAAAGGGTGGACTAAGAAAAGGCCCCACCAACTATAGATGTTTAATTTAATTTTGTAATAGTTAAGAGACCAGTGAGATCGTAAAGCCTTAGCTAGTTTAAGATGAGCGACGAGAGGTTATAGGTAAGATGGTGCAATTCTTTACAATATTGTATGAGTTACAAGGAGAATGTTGAAATGTGCTTTAGCATCTATTGGGAGTAAATGTAATGACATAAGTATAAGGGTGATATGATAACATTTGGTAGTTTTGGTTAATATGCTAGCAGCAGTATTTGTTGCATGTTGTAGTTTGCCAATAGTTGATAAACATAAGCCAGAGAAAACTGTATTGCCGTCATCAAGTCTAGTTTGCAATGTGTCGGCATCAGCCATGGAAAGAATGGGGAGAAACTAAGTCATGTTTTGTATATGGAAATATACTGCCCTAGTAATATATGTTGTTCAAAGGAGAGATAAGAGTCAACATGGACACCATCACACCAAGGGCTTTGTGAATGATGGAGGTAGTTATTTTTACAATTAGATCACAAAATGAAATTCCACTGTCAGAACAAGAATTAGCATTTCTGTTTTTACAGCATTTTAAAAAAGGAATTTCAATGACAGTAATTGCTTAATTTCAGATTTGCATTCTTCCATTTTACCAGCTAACAACAAACATCATGTTTGAATGTAAATGTAAAATTAAGTATCATCTGCATTGAAATAAAAACCTAGTTTGTAACTATTGATAAAAGTACCGAGGGGCAATATAGCAATAGAGGACCGAGCACAGATCCTTGCGGCACACCATAACTGACCTTGCCGCACCTGGCCATAACTCTTACATAATTATCACAGATAAGTGTACTGTTTTCTATTTTATTAATACGGTTGCTTGGAGCACATTGCCAAATTAACATTAATGGCGTATTCAGATAAAAAATACATTGGATAACATTTTGCCTTTGGGTCGGTCATATGCTGTTGGTCACCATATTAGCTAGGTCAGTATGGGGTTCAGTGTCACAGCGCACTGTAAAAGCACACACTCCCTGTGGTTATTTACTCATGCATGTTCTATCCAATCACGGCCTGTTCTCTTGACGCTCTGCAGCCCTGCCGCTGCCTAACAATAACAACATGTTCAC